AACTTTGGATTTGGAGAAAAATTATTCATCTTAACATGGCTAATACATTCATGCTGTAAGGTTGATGATAATAAGTTCTTCAGAACTTCAGACGTGTGATTACATTAAGTGCAGATAAATCAAACCTAGTGCATGTGGTGCACGTAGAAGAAGATGCAGAATTGCAATACTCGGCAAGTGCTGGTACAGCTGGAGTTAGGGCTGCTGTTCCTGGCTTGCAGGAGTAATGTGAGGAGCTTTTCATTGCAGATTACTAATGGTTAGGGTTAATTTTCCAAAAAAAAAATGGAGACAACAGATTGCCATAAATTCTGGTTGGAAGATTGTTGCTATGTTTTGAAGGCTGCCAGTCCCCACAAGTTTCACTGCAGCCTTCTGGTACAAAATTACCCCTGCTTAACTGTAGATGATCTGCTTTAAGATGCTGGCAAATGCTGCAGCATTGGTATGAGTGATTTCAGCAAGTCCATTGATTTGTGCTCTTAAGTTTTGAGGTTAGCTCTGCAAAACGGTTCAGAGTGACTTAACCCAGAAGGCAGAATGAAGAGCAGGTTTGTATATAAAAAGCAATTTGGATCGTAGGCAAGGAGGACTGTCATTGCTGTAGACATCAAGGCAGGGTATTAAATTAATGATTTTTTATTATTTTGAAGAATGACATCTTTAGGTTTACCTTCAGTAGCTTGAACTTTTTAATGTTTTCTTCTGTTTGAAACCTTAGCTTTTCAGTGTCAAGTTGGAGCACTGCAGTGTCAGAAGATGGAGTCTCTGTGAAAAGGCTGTTTCAAACAACTATATCAAGCCAATGCTCATTTTCTTGACTTGGCAATCAAGATGATTTCCTTCTAGCCAGCAGGTTCCTGGTTCTGGGGGAAACTGCTACAGAGAAGTTTAAAGGGGGGGGAAATCTCATCACCCCATGCGATTTTTTAATCAGATTTTAAATTGTGAAATGCATAAAAGGAAGGTGAAGTTACGGGCTTTGTTGGCTAGTGCCAGGCTGTTGTGGGCTACGGATATTCTACTCTGTTAATGCCTTCTGTGCTATTCCTACAAATTGTTGAGGGAGTTGCCAATTTTCCAGAAAAAGCAGTAGTTCAACTACATTGGTGCTTGTTTCCAGTCTTGGTAGATGCTTGTGCCAGGTTGAGCAGTTACTGGAAACGGGAAGCAGCCCTTGAGTCACAGAATCATTAAGGTTGGAAGAGACCTCTAAGATCATCAAGTCCAACCGCCAACCCAACACCACCATGCCCACTAAACCATGTCCTAAAGTGGCACATCCACACGCTCCTTGAACACACAGGGATGGTGACTCCACCACCTCCCTGGGAAGCCTGCTCCAGTGTTTGACCACTCTTTCAGTAAAGAAATTTTTCCTAATATCAAATCTAAACCTTCCCTGGCCCTAGGGGGATGCATACAGCCTACGGGACACTAGGAATGGAATGCTAGGCTTTCTTTTGAGGAGAAAAGGTGAGTTTCCAGTTCTTCTGCAGTGCAAGTTTAGCTGGTCACTAAATAGCTGTTGGCATTCCCAAAGGATTGGAATACCTGTGGGACATCACTTTGTCCTTCTGATAGCTACTTGTTCCTTCCTCTCTCTGCGTGAGTTTGGCCTTCCCAGTGAGCAAGTATGGTGATTACTGGCCACAAGAGGATGTAGCTCAGGAACCTGAGATAATTTGTTCCATGGGCTGTGCACACCACAGGGAATGAGACCCTGAGATTGTAACCCTGGCCATGACTTGCTGGACCTTCTGTGTCTTGTCTGTTTGTTCCTTCCCATCACTGTCAGCAGTTGCCTGCCCTCCAGCGCAGTCCGTGGGTGGCCGGTAAGAGGCTTGGCAGCGGGAGAGGAGAGCTGTGCTTACTCTGCTTGCACAATGTGGGCCATAGAATTTCACTTTGTGCAGCTGAGCGCTGTTTTTTAAGTCTGTTTGGTACCAACGTGAGCATAGCACATGTACAACATCCCAGTTCTTTCCTGCGGGGAGCGTTGTCTCCTGCAGCGACTGTCTGACGCTGGCAGCCACGTCCGGGCTCCTCACGGCAGCACAGGCCTGGCAGCAGCCTGCAGAGATTCCCCGCTTCCATTTTCTGGTTCAGTTAAGATGGACCCTAAGGCTCATCTCTCCGAAAACTGAGGGCCAGTTTCTCCGCCTGTCCATCTCGCCGGTAGCAAAGCCAAGTAACCCCATCTACTGGAAATGCACTTGGAGATTGATGCCAGATTCCCAAACTGGAGAGCATCAGCTTGCAATTCAAGTGGTGCTGACATTTGCGAGAAGGCTTTCTGTCCTAAGCCGTCAGATGTTAGCTAGTGTATGTAATTAACTTGGTATAATTTTGCTTCAGAATGAAATATTTGTTCAAAAGAGACTTAAAAAAACATCCTGATGTTTTTAATGTCTGGGCAGCAAGTGATGCTGCGTAGAGGAAGGCACACATTTATTGTTAGAGATTGGTTTCATGGCAACTCCTGTTTGTTACTATGGTACGCAGAAAGTCCCAAAGGCTTTTACTGTCCATCACTTCTTAGGTCTTGTGAGTAATCTGGATACAAAGCTCACTGATGTACATCGACAGTGGAGGCAGAAAACAATATGAAAATATTATAGCCTGAAATGATCTGGTTGTCTAAGAATCCCAAAGGACAAATGTAAAACTTTATTTTGCATAGTAGCTTTTCTAGAGTTTGGTAATAAAGCTTGCGACAGAGTAGGAAGAGAACGAAATGGAGGTGGAAGGGATAAAACAGAGATTTTATTTTCTTTTTTTTCCCCCCAGAGGAAATTTAAGAGTTAAGGAAATTAAAACCAACAAATCCAAACCAGAAACCCATGTTTTGCAGAAGGTGGAATACTCAAGACTCTGCCCTGAGAGACTTAAGGTTTGGCTGAGAAGAAACAGTTATGAAAGCGTAGAAATGAAGCAGTCCCATTTGACTAAAAGAGTGGAACAGGGCGTCATGTGTAGTTGCTCCATCCAATTCCTATTTACTTCCCCGTTATGAAATTCACTGGCCACTTCTGGTCTCAAGCTGTTACGTATTTCAATTCTAATGCTGCAGCTTGCAGAAGGAATTGTTTCTTTCTAGGACTTGAACTTTATTGTTTCCTCATTTGAAAATCATCCCAATCACCAACATTTCCCTTTTATGCTTTATCAAAACTGAAAGGAAGTGTTTGCATCAGAGCTGAAATTGAGTTTGCCAAGTCGATGGTCAGAAGAAAGAGCTGCTTGAAAGGCCTGCGTGCATGGGATGAGCATCGGTGCATCCAGCTGAACACTTGGATCCTGTCACATTCACTGGTGGTGGTGGTTTTTCGTTTGGGTTGGATCCAGGGAGGACCATGTAAAGACAGAAATACTGACCTTCTGATTTGCTGTTGGTTTCCCAGTACCGTGTGGTTGCTCTGTTGGTCTGGTCACTTCTGTAAGTTTGAGTTAGTAGTTACTGCACACTTTATCCAAACTGGTGCAGTATCTCTCCAACCTCACTGGCTGGATGAGAGTCACAGCGGGCAGGCTGCTGCTGTTACGGCGTAACCTAAGAGTGCGAATTCTTGTTTTGTATGTGAGCGTTTTAGTTTGGTTTTGCTTCTGTTGTTGGGCTGACAAATAAGGTTGGGTGCCAACACCAACAGAAAACATCTCATTTTCAGTGAAAACCACTTCTTTTTTTAATAAAGTAGCCATGAAACAACTCGTAGCATTTACCAGAGATGGCACATCAAGAAGAAATTGTGTCTGTAGTGAACTAAGTGGGCTTTGCAGCTTTGCTTGTTGACACATGTGCCTCACTTACAGCAGCACATTAAAATCATCTTCATGTCTTGGTATAAAGAAGGGGGAAAAGAAAAGAGGCAGTTATGTTAACCCACTAATTTCTACATACGTTTTATTCTGTGTATGCTAGAGAGTGATGGACAAACACCAGTTCGTAGTTTACTTTCAGTTTAACTCAGGAGTTGACACCCCAGTAGTTGTAACCCTCCAGATTGGTGGTTGGATCCCTCTGGCCTGTGCCCAGCTGTTGTGCCGCTGCAGCGGGGGATATGTGGCAGAGAGGAAGAGAGCCAAGCGGTCGGCCTCCTCCCCCCGCCCCAGCCCAGTCAGTGAAGTACGGAGCAGCTTAGGGGAGAGAAAGCTTTGGATTTGGGGATATTAAGCACCTACTAATTCTCCTTATTTCAGAGAGGCTTTCGTATCGGGTGGTGGTGGTGTTAATCTTTCTTTATAGATACTTGTGCTTGTAAAAATTGGTCTAGCAGATGCTTCAGAGCAACTCCCTTATTAATGACTGCTTGTCTGCAGCAGTGATTTGTAAGCAGGCTGGCTGTCATTTGGGATCTTTTTTTAATAAAATGCAAGAGTGACAGCACTGAGTCTTGTTATGATTTAAACTTTGTTCTATGGCAGTGGAACCCACAGTGTGAGTTAAGCAGCTCTTTCCCCACATTTCTTCCTGTTGGAGTACCCTTTATGCCCATAAATACCTGGTGTGGATGATAAATGCTTAATGCTTTCCCTTACGGCAGGTGTGTGCTTGCCCTACCTGGCTCTGAGGTCTGTGAGGACCTGCGGTGTCTATTTGGGAGCCCGCTGCTGTTGGATGAAGGGACAGCTGGTACTCAGTGCTGACACCAGACTAATTCATATTATTTTCACTAAGTGTTTAGCTGCGTTACCTCGTTTGCCTTAGAGGATAAAATGTCTGGTGCTGGGCTTTGTTTCTGGCTGCACGGAGTGCAAGTTCAGTGCTCTTGGACAAATAGGCAGGCTGTGGTGAGCTGCTGCAGTGGGTTTTTGTTAGTGATGAACCAAGCGAGTGCACTGCGATTCAGTTTCCTTGAAAGAAGCTGCATACGTATTGGTGCCAGTTGGATAAAAAATTTACCAAGTGGAGCTGCAAGTGGTTTTAATAACTGCAATATGCATAAATCTTGTTCAGAAGAATTGTTTTTTTCCTTCTTTTGCAGCTTCTCGCACAGCCAACCACTTGAAGGAGAAAGAATTCTGCAACCCCTTGTTTCAAAAGACCTTGGACTATTTCTGCTGCTCGACTCCCTTCACTCCCTCATTTTTGTGAACAAAAGATCCTGAGAGGAGGATGAGGCAGCTAAGAGGAAAACCCAAAAAAGAGACCTCCAAAGATAAAAAGGAGAGAAAACAGGCAATGCAGGAGGCCCGGCAACAAATCACCACCGTGGTGCTGCCCACGCTGGCCGTTGTAGTACTGCTGATCGTTGTGTTTGTCTATGTAGCGACTCGTCCAAATACAACCGAATGATGCAGCTTTTCAGACTTTCTCGCTCTGGGGTATTAATAATTTTATCAAGAGCCAAAAGGAACTCGCTGCCACTCTTGCAGTACTTTACAAAGAAACTTGCTGGTATTTTCAGTCTTTCTCTTGGTTAGGGTCCCGCGGTTTCTCTTTAAGAATGTAACATAAAACGTATTAGTGAATGTGCCAGTACGTTTTATGGTCCAGTTCATGTGCCTTTCAAACTTTTAAAATTGTGTTTTTCTTAAATCTGTTTGAAGCTCTATATTGTAAAAGGAAATTGTGTTCTGCTATAAATTTGTAAAAAATCAGCTTTCAGCTTTTATCACTGTTACGGATAACGTTGCTCCCGTGAGCTCTTGTACGTCTATTTCAGAACTTCCAAAGAAGTACATTTCTTCTTTGTACTTAATGTCATATGAAGTGCTTTGATTCAGAAAGGATATATTTATTTTTTGAATAAAAGAGAGAAGTCTTACTTGGAATCTTCAAATTATTTTGCAAAAAATGTGACTTACTGTGAAAGCCTACATTGTGTAATAATCTTTTCATTAAACACTGTGTAGTTCACTGAAAAAGGATTTCTTTTTGCTGTGAGATGCCAACATGCAAAGTGAATACTTCAGGATCTGCCAGGAGGAATCTTACAGAAGCTGGAAAGTCAGTTTATAGTGAAGTAACTAAAAGCAAACTATATAAACACAGATAATTGTTTATCTGAATGTTAAATATTTAAATCTGTATAAAGTGGCAATAAAGAGGTGATTTTTGGATACAACTCTTGATATTTTTTTATTTTTTTTTAAAGGAAGGGAAAGTAACACTGGTACATCTTAGGTCTCTAATCCACTTGCTGGAGTGAGCTGCTGTCCTGTGGCACCCCCTCTCCTCCTCACTTAAAGGAAGCTGTGAGCACAGCTTAGGCAGTTCTGTTCTATTCATTCTGATCAAAATGCTTTAATAGTCATGTATTCTTGTTCAGCCCTTTCTCAGGTATTTTAAGGCACTCAGTAAGCATTAACTTTCAGAGGACTTCAGGAAGGGAATTTGAGAACTCTTGACGGCTGCTTAAATACAGGCCAAGCAAGGACAAATGTGATGCTATAGTGCACTGAAGCGTAGCGGGGAATATTTCTGTGCTGAAAGTCAAAGACCCTGTGAATCTTGACTTCACGTGCTGCCTCTCGGCAGGGGTACTCCCCGTGAAGTCGATGGGACTGCTCACACACATACCACTGAAAGGCAGTGCCTTGCTGCCTGCATTAACCGGTGTGGTGTTCCTCTGGAGGGTGCTACTGCATACCCAAATTGTTTTGCAAAAAAATAATTTAGGCAAGTAAACGCAGTTCCCTGCAGTAGACTTTGCCCTAAGGCACATGTTCCCAAAGTGGAGTGAGTCTGTGGCCAGCTCTAAACTAGCCCAGTTCAGGATGAGACAGATACCAATGATGCTGTGATGGCCAAAGTTCATGGCACTTGTGCCACTGCTGTTGGTAGTGCCTGGAATTAAACTGGCCCTGCAGACTAGGATGCTTTTGAAATACCAAATTTGCTGAAAACTAAAAGGAAGAGTTTGGATGAACTGTTAGGTTGGGTGTTTTCCCCCCCACCTTACAGCATAGTTGGGATATGCACACAACAAACCAGAAAGACAAGATGGTCACTGTGATATGCCCAGAAGTGCTGACCCACCGAGTGACCAGCAGGAAGGCTGCCATGGAGCCCCTGCGCTCACCGAGCTGTGCACCGAGAATGAAAATTATCTGTGCTTTGGTGCTGAGAACTGCTTCCTGCAACTGGAGGGATGTGAACTGATGCTTCTGTAAGAGTATTTGCTTGTCTGTGTCATCTCCCAGCTGTTTCTGTTCTCCCAGGCACCAAATCCTTTTTGTCCTATCTTTATTTTATTCTCAGTCAGGAATGGCTGTGATGGAGCTCTGATAGTTTGCCCTTTTTTGAAAGGAGGTATTCAGCTTGAATAAAATTTCTGCCTGAGGAAGCGTGTGCAGTTTAAATATGTGTGTTCTGCAGAGTACTTGGTGTCTTCGGTGTCTAGAATAGAAGCAAAATTTCTGCTGCCTCCCATAGATTCCTCATCTTCCTCCTCCATAGATACTTTACCAAGCTTGTCCTGACCCTGCTCATTCTGTGGTGCTTCCTGAAGGCTCTAACAAAGCCGCTGTGACTGTCTCATCGTGGAGCAGCAGGCTTATTTCAGTCCGTTCCACCTGCAGGGCTTTTTTATCAGCCCTAGCAATAACTCCATCATTTGGAAAGCCTTCCCTGAAACTGTTCCGAGTCATTATGTGATGTTTCATCCCCTTAATTTTCTGCAAGAGTTGAGTCTGTGACACATGAGAGCAATTAACTGGCTGATAACAACTAAATAGGTAAAAGGTCAGTTGGGTTAGATAATATTTAAGACTACTTCTCTAATGAGATGTTTTATTTCTGCTGCTTTTCCTTATGCACCCCCTTTGTCTCTTGTCATCTGCAAATTCTTCACGTCACAATAATCATCTTTTTGGAGCCAAATGTTTATTAATACGAGCCTATAGCTTAATGCTAATAAGGAACATTGTGTATGTCAATTCCCTGAAATATGCAATTCTACTGAGTGCTAATTGAGAGGAAAACAGTGTTACACATTCTGAATTGTGTCTTATGCAGAAGCTAGAATTGATTTCACAGTTTGAATCTCGGAAAAAGATACTCTAGTAAACAATGAAGTTGAGTTCTGACATTTTCTACCAAATTCCCTTTTACTCGTATCGGATGTGAGAATGCACATTTGGAAAAACGGTTTGAAGCCTCTGTAGACAGAAACTGTCAAAAATCACTGGGAAATAATGGAGAAGTAAATTAATGGCAGTTGCCCAAATGTCAACTCCTGTGAACTTCTCAGCCAAAGGTGTAACTGTGTCTCTCTTTTTTCACTGTATGTATTGCTCCAAGTGTCAGCTGCCTTCAAAAATGTTTTAGAAATAGGGTTTCAAACCTTTTCCCAGCATACAGTAGCTTGTGGGCAAAAATTGAATGATTTATTACGAGCATTTTACCAGAAAACTCATGCTGAGACACTTCTTCAGCAGTGTCTTACGGTATAGTTTCCAAGAGTGCTCATTATCAGGTGAAGTCATTAAAAACCTGCCGTTGCCTTCTGATAAATCAAGTTACAGAAGCAATTTTTTAAAACCAATTTTTCAAAGCATAAATCAGATCTGAGTCAAATACTTAAAAGATCAAGGTTTGAATGGAGTTTTATAAATGTCTTCAAAGTGCTAAGAAAATAAAGGCAGCGTGTCAAGCTTTCTGATGATGGGTAAATGCCCATCTGGGTTCTATATGGCCCCAGCTCCCCAAAACCAAGTGAGAGACGCCAGTGACGCTGCCCGTGGTCTGAAGGAAGAACTACATGTCTTTTCAGAACTGGGAGAAATTGGCTCTCAGTCTTCTATTTCAATCCATCAACAAGAAAATATTCACTTATTCACAACCTCATATTTGGAAAACAGGACTTTTAAATACATGTGGCAGAGAAAATGAACCGTTCTTTGTTCAGATTCATGTTCGGTGCCTGGATGGTGCATGTGCAGGTTTGAACGCTCCCATAGCTCTGGAAGATGTGAACTGAGCCTGCGTTTCGATTCGCTGTTTTGGATCTGCATCACAGATGTTTCTAATGAGGTGTTTCTTACCAGGACAGGTGGTTCCAGTGCCCACACTGTGTACCAGCGAAGCAAAATCCTGCCATGCACGTCCCAGCCAAGTATCTTCATCATCACTACAGATGGAGCTGTTAGCTGATGCACCACCTCAATTTGGTTGAAAAGTTTCAGCCAAAAACTTCCTGTTAAGGTGCTTACTTGGGATACCGAGGACCAGGGCTTCTGTGGGATTTCTTGCTCCATCTGGGATTGTACAAGGGTTCACGCCAAATGAAGTAAACCGTACAGCTGTTGCAGGAAGTTCAGTGATGGGATGGTGTAGGACTGTTCATTGCACACAGACATGTTCTCATAAGGTAACCGGGCAAACACATTCTTGATAGTCTGTTTCAAAGCCCCTGGCAGTTTGGTTAAGGGTAGATGAGAGAGACAAACCAGTCAGTATGTTGGTTTAAGAAGGAAGACTGGAGTGCAGCGTATCAATGTCATGGAGCGTTGCTCAATCCACTAGTGGAAATTGAGATGCAGTACGTTAAATTTATGCTTAGGGATATGGTCTAGTGGCAGAATTAGTAGGGTTGGATTGATGGTTGGACTCCGTGATCTTAAAGGTCTTTTCCAACCAAAACCATTCTATGATTCTATTAAATTACAGCCTATTTATGGATTTGAGGGTGTCCATGTGATTAAGTAGTAACTCAGACACAGTGAACTTTGAGATCTGAACCCTACAATGAGCAAAAACCAACACACGGTTCCCACATTGGTTTGGCCAATTCAAACAAGTTCTGCTCTGAACAGTCTTTAACCTAGCATTTTCTCAGCAGACTGCTGTTCCTGTGAAGAAAAAGCAACCTCCCCTAGCACAAGGCAGTTGATATGAAATCTAGTGGTTAGTTATTTTCCATAGAATTAAATGGAAAAAAACTGATAGTGAATGATGTAATTCGCTGCTGTAGGCTGTAGAGCCAGATGGGAACATGATCCCATCATCCATATGATACAGGGTAAGGACCTTCCTCCAGAGCCCTCTGCCTCCTTCCAGCTGTTTGGGCTCTGGGAGACCCTGGCCAGAAAGCAGCGGGACTGGATGGAGTCCAGCACACACCTGAGCTGCGGGGCAAATAAAACTTGGACGACTGGCACCACAGACCATAGATGTGCAATCACCTGGGGCTCATCTCATCAGACCATCTCTGTTGATGACTTCTTTCTCATCCCCACTGGTGGTGTTCAGAGTCCCTGCTGTCTGTCTGTCACTCTCCTATTCCTATACTCCTAAATTTGCCATAAAAAAAGGAAGAGAGTAAAAAATCATAGGAAGACAATGTGCTACATACCCAACTTTCATGTGAGCCACTTTTAAATGCTTCTGCTCAGTTACTGTCGTTTCACCGACAGCGCCATCAGAGTAAGTTTTGGGAAGTGAATTGGACGGCAATGGTCTGACAGCTCTTTTACCACCAACTATTTCAAGATTATATCTCGACGAAAGTGTTGGCAACTCTGTGTACACGACCTCTGTTCTTCCTTCTGCAAAAATAGCTGGTGGCAGCCTGATCCATTGTTCTTTTTATTCAAAACAAGTCTTTCAACTAGGAGCCAAAAAATGCTTTTTGGTAAAGCTTTGGAAAATCATCAAAGAATTCCAGCAGCTGACAAGAATTTTCCATTGCCCAGCTATTCACAAAATAGAATAGAAATTTTCTGTATGTTTTGGGTAATCCGTAGCTCCCGAACATTGCACCTTGACCTGTCAAATGAACACTTGATTAATGATTATCTTTTTTTTTCATTTTTATTGGTGCTTTCAGACATTTATAGCCTTGGACCCTTCTGATTATTCATTTTTTGACAATATACATACATCTCCAGTCCCTGTTCACAAGCTATGTACTTTCTCAGTCTTTATTATTTCTGCCGTCCATCACTCTTTAGAAGGTTTTCCAAATAACTTGAAATATGGTACATGTTGTAGAAACTATTTTTGGCATGGTAACATCAAGAATATGTATTTTCCTTCAGAAACCTCTCATCACTTGAACCAAATTTCTACTTTTTAATACAGCGGAACTATTAACAACCAATGGTGTGGCTCTGACTATTATCTGGCAGCAATGGGCTCTTGTTCAATTTGGGGATTGGCAGATGAGGAACTTTTGCTGACTTTGGCTAGCAAAGAGAAGGGTGATCTCTCAAGTATGTGTTAAAAACCTGGCACTTTGATCCCTACTGTCTCAGCACATTTGTGGCGTAACAGGCTCTGAGCAGGAAATACCAGTAAACAAGCAGGCTGTTCAGATACAGGTACTTTGCACTTTTCAGTGCTTTTCACAAAGAGTTCATTCTATGGCATTACACAAAAGCCAGGCTGAAACTAACCCTGTCATTTCATTAGCCAATGTTAGTAGCTTGGCCAGATCTTAAAAAGCTTTCAAAAAAAAAATCTTACTATCTTTTTGATAATGACTTCCATTCATTGTGTATCAACACACTGACCTGTGTCACGAGGGGGATCCTCAGGCCTGGATCTCTTTGAAGAAGTGGAGCATGCTGTCTTCTTGTATGTTTAAATCTTGCAGTGTCAAAAGAATCTGGCTAACTGGATAATATCCTATCTTTTTGTCTCTTGCCTTTCTGAAAGACATTTTGCTGCTTCTACAGATCTTCCCCAGCTTAAAATTTAGCTTCATTTCCAGAGGTTCGTAAATTTCTTCATTAGTTCTTTTAAAACTCCCAGATGCATCTCTCCCTAAGCTGAGGATGCATATATATTTAGTTTGTTCTCGTGTCCTTCCATCATCTTTTTATTCAGTCCTCGTTCCTCCAGCTGAGTCTAGTAATTTTCCTGAATTTTCCTGTAAAAGGTTCTTTGATGTCCTCATTTTCATTACTCATTTTATTGCAAACCGAGCCAAACTGGTATTTAAAATCTTGGTATTTTGTGCAAGTGTGATGTAGTGAATTTTGTCTTAATGGAAATATAGCTTCCAAAAACAATTTACATTTTTGCTGTGGTCTTGAATATTAATGAGACTTCATTTACTCACAAACTGGAGCTGTTTGACAGTCTGGTATTATTTTTATCCAGATTTTTCCAGGAAGTTGGCAACAGTAAATGCTGGAAAGCGGTTCTTCAGTCTCTCTCTCATTGAAATTGGTGGTTCATCAACACTGTCTGTAATTTCTGTTTCGCTTGCACAGCAATAGAATTCAGTATGAATTGCAAATAAAAGGAATCTCGACATGCAGATTTTTGGCACAGGAAGTTGAATTAACTTTGCTCAGTTTTATGTTTTTCTGTGTTGTGGAAAAATGTAAAGAATTTAGGCCCTTACCTAAAAAGTTGTCTGATGTTAAAGGGTTCCAGTGTAGTGAAACAATGAGCCAGTGTAGTATCAAAACATCAATACCAAAAGAGATGCTTTTGAAGACACGATTTAAAAATTTTAAAGTATTAACGTAAAGCACATGAGATCAGGCTCTGCCCCAGGTGAAGTCTGTAGGTCTGGCGAAAGAGGCAGTACGGGTGGCTTCAAAATACGTGCTCTGTCTATTCATGTTCTCCTCACAGACCTGCATGGCTTAGAGCATAAGAAAGGAAGAGCTCAAACTTCTCATTTCAAGAGGCCCAAGGGCTGTTTCTATAGCCAAGAATAACCAGAGCGTAGATAAGCTCTTTATACTGGGAGCTATGACATGGCTAAAGGCCCCTATTATTCCTGTTCTGTGCAATCTAGAGAATTTCTCTTGGCTGATTATAGTTTCAAGGGAGTCATTCCACTTATCAGCACTCTGTACATCACAGAATTGAAAGTATCTTACTTAATTTACCATGCTGCAACAAGGTATCTGCTGCACACAATTTAACTATGCAAAACCAGCCTGTGTATTTTAGAATATGTTTAGACTGTGATATTTTTTATTACAGTCAAGTTACAAAATACCTAAATCCTCAGGATAATTATTATCTTATTGAAGCCTTGGTGCTAAATATACATGCAACTGGCAATGTGCCTAAATACATTAAGCAGCTAGTTGCAGATTTTAGTTCTAAGAAACTCACGGGTGATTTCTTGCTTTTATTTTCTTAATTGTGTGACTGGCTTAAGTATGCCTGCTTTGCTGAATCCTGGCATAGTTTTTGAGAGTATTTTCAGAATGTCTTTGCAGTTCTTCAAGGTGCAAATTTAAACGTTCTTCAAACTCTCTTGTGTGCTTCTCTTCCTCTTGAAGGAACTTTTCTGTTGTTGCAAGGAAGGACATCTCAGGAGGAGACTGCACAATGAATAGAAAATCATGGTTAGTAAAAACCAGCAAGTACTACAATATGTTTGCATTAGCAAATTTTAGATTTGAAAAACATCTTAACCTATAGCAGCTAATAGCATTATAACACTTTATATCTCTCCAAGAAAACATGAATCTGGGCGTGCATTATCAAAGGCATTCAGGTGCCTAAATGAGATAATGTAAACATGATGTTTGAATATCTGTGCTATTCACAGCATTAGGATGTAGATTTTCCATTAAAAATTTAAGTATCCCATTAGACAGAATTAAGCTGCTTTAAAACCTCCCAAATCTTTGGTTCAGCAAAAGGTTATGTTTGTCACTTGCATAATTTAGGCCAGGACAGAGGACAATAATCTGTTTTTTTGAATTACTGAATATAACCAGTGCTGGGTACTGCTGATGGCCTCCTGTAATTTTGGCTCTCTGCCCCTGTGATGTGATGTTTTCTGAAGAAAGGAGGAAAACCTGTGCTCATTTCAGTGCTATCAACTTCAAGCCTTGATATTCTGGAGAATGTACTAAATTTTATTCGCTGCAAGTAGTTCACTGAAAAATCTTCTTTCCATTTAATAAGCATTTAGTAGACTGAGACATAAACCATACCAAAATTGGTCTTAAAATGGCTGTCATGGGATGCGGAGTTGTATAAAGCAAAGGACATGAGTGAGACTTTGCCAGAACAAGTCCCATATTTTCAAGCAGCAATTTTTGTTAATTCTTTTTGCTAATACTTAAGATGCATTTATTGGAATGTCTTTATCAAAAGGAATATGAAATAATTTTTCTTTGCCTAAAGATATGATGCTTGCTTAAATAAATTCAATTTTTGTTTGTATAGATAAGTACAATCTTATGACATGAATTTTTAACAGTTGACTGAGAAAAAACCATATAGGAGCCGCAATACTGAGTAAGAGAAAGATAATTTTCTGTCTTTATATGATCATATACTGAGAAAGATGATTGACATTTATCTTAATTAAACCATCTGTTAAATAGTTTTAATAACTCATTATTAGCCTAGAATCTCTGGTTGTGTTTTTCCTAGAACATAAAAAGGAGAGTTTATCTGTCATCAGATCAAATAGGAATGGCTTCAAATGATTTAAATCTTCAAATGTTTTGTGGAAAAGGCTAACTCTATTACACCTGTAAATTTTGATTCTAGGTTTCATGGTATCAGAATGGGATATTCCTTATTTCCACAGCAACTAGAGGCAGATTTGGTCTTTGCTTTCAGCCTGGTTTAAAACTGCCCTTTAGCAGCTTTTCAGTCCAAATGAGAAATGCTTTAAAGCACTATTTTATTCAAACTCTTTGCAGCACACTTTGAGATGAAATTTAGAGATTTCCTATAGGAAACCCCCTTTCTTTTCAAAGTACAGCAAGTTGAGCGATAGCCGGAAGTAAATTCTGAATGTGACATCATCCCTCTAGAGTGAGACAGGCTTTGTGATGTATGGGGCTCCTCAAATGAAATTCACAGATAAAGAGGACCTTCCTTTTCTCAGTCCCTCCAAGTGAGTGTTTTAACAGGTCAGGAAAGTAAAAGTGACTTAATTTGCCATATAGGAACAAGGAGCCCAAAGGTATTGGATCCCTCTGTGCCACAACACTCTTGTGTCAATCCCTGCACTAGTGGCGATAAGAAACAATGTTCATCTTCCAGTGTTTGGAAAACTCTGGAGTGAGGTCACCATCCTCATGAACACATACATGATTTCCCACCCATAGATCATCACTGTTTTTGGATGAAAAGTTGCTCCTTTTAATGCCATGGCTACATGCACATTGATCCCTCTATGGCCTAGGTCACAAAAATATCTCTTTGTGACGTTTGAATTCAGCCGTAGAGTTGGCAGGACTATTTTGAAGTATTTGAAGGCGGCTCTGGTATTATGAGGAAGACATGGGATTCAGAGGCTTTACTTAAAGAACCACCATGTGTTTCACTTACTGAATACCAGGTCTGAAATCTCTGATGCAATACTGAGCAAATAAAATACTTCCAGTAGAAGTGTAAGAAACCAGGAAAATGTGAATCTGAAATATGGATTTAATAGGTGTCATCACCTAGAGAAAAAAAGTCATGTCAGGCTTTTCCATGTGGACAGCAGATGGACATGAGTGCTCATCTTCAGAAATGTTCTATCAAGTTATGAGAGATTCACAGAGATTCATTATAACAATGTTTACAATTGCTGACTTGTCATTAGAAACATACTGGCCTCCTGATCAATCTGTCTTCCTAAAGCTAGTGGCTTTGCTTCAACTGATACCTACTTTGATGTGTTTTTCCTGAAGTACACTGTAAGCTGCAAATGAGACATATCTGAGTTCCCTCAGAGTTGAGAGAAGAACGTTTATCACTTGGAATAAGCAGATCATGGTTCCCTACAGCTCCTAACCTAAGGGTCAGACATCATTGACTATCATTTTAGATAGGTCCCTAATGCGCTGGTTTTTATGCGCTTTGAGAGAAGGTTGGATCTAAACAGGTCTAAAAGGCAGCATTTCTTGTTAGCAACTAAGCTTTGCTTCGCAAGCCTCTGGTCTGTTCTTTCTCTATATTCTTTATTGTCTTTACTGCTTTAATCCATGCCTCAGATGAGATTCATGGCCTCTAGTTTTGAATTTCTTTTCCTCAGATGATACTTTTATGTCTTTAGCTTTTCTAACTGGAGCTGGATAGAAATAGGTGAGTAAAAGGTGAAGATCCAGACTCGGAAGCACAGTGTACCTAACTGCTTGCACCAGCTGAAATGGAGAAATTGTGTAGAAATGGACTATTCTAAAGCTGCAACTAATCTTATTGTCTATTTTTAGGTTTTTTTATTTATTTTCTGAAGCTGGACATTGGACTGCTCTATGGAACAGTCTTCCCAGAGACTGGGAATGGATCAGGCAACCATTTTCTGAAGTGAATGGGAATTTCCAGTGCATCTCAGCTAAGCTTTCTAGTTTACGCTAAGGCAAGGGTGACTTTCTCTATACCTGTAACCTCTAAGTAAGAACTGAAAGGACAGAGGTTCCTGTGGAACGTTTACTAAGGTTGTCTGAAGATTCTCTACTGCGAGAAGAGATGTAAGTCTTTGTTTGAAGCCCTAGAGACTATTTTCTCTCTTCCTTAAATACCAAATAAATAATTTTGGCAGGTATCGGAACATCATCTGCAATTCTGATGTTTTCAGTTAGTGCTACAATATTCTTCAGAAAAATGGTTCCTTGTAACAACACCTTCAGAAGTTCTGAACATACTGGACATTTCACTTAGGTGAAACATCAGTCCTGAAAACTGTCAAAGAACTCTGGTTTACAACATATTGTATGGTTTTCCCCTGTTTCTCCTTGATGCAATGGCTTTCCATTTGAACATAGAACTCTGGAGCAACAGACTGTTGAACCATCTCTGCACTAAAGCTGTGGCATTCAATGTCAGTCTGAGTGATGATTTCATTTTGGTGGTGGTCTGAACTTGTACCTGCTTCAATGACATTGGTTTGGACTTAGACTCTGTACAGAAATATCCCTTTCTTAATAGTTTCATTATGTACTTTGCCCACACACGAGCTGGAGTGTGTTTTCCTTATAACGTAGTCAACTGCCTTGGCATTGACCCTGTCCTGAGTGCCAGCTGGGAAACAGTTTCCCTGCAGCTTGCAAAAGTGTCTCAGGATGGGCATTTCCCCTGGTCTGGCTGGAAACAGCAGCTTTGTGGTCTGCTGTCTCTGTCTGCCACTTCTGACAGAAGAGAGGAGGACAATTGGAGTTTATCAGATGCTCCTGAAAAAGTCCAGACAATTCTTTTCGTGATTAGCAGTTTAAAGAGGAAAACTCCCAAGACATGAGAAACCAAAAGCCATTTACTTAAAATTTCTGTGAAGCATAAGGATATAAAAATGGAAGTCAGGTCAAACACCCAGGACTATGTGGTTGTCACTGTTCTCTGACTACTGGGACACAGCTGCCAGGACCGTGGTCAGTGAAGGGCTGTGCTGTGCAATCCCTGCTTCCCAGGCAGGCCATCACTATGGAGCTCCCCATCTGCAGGAGATTCTGGAATATGGTGACAGTCTTCCAGCAGCCACATCTCTGATAGGAAAGGATATGCGTCCATTTCTGAAGTGGACAGCAGAACCAGGGTATGACAACCACAAACCACTTGAAGATGATTGCTGGTGTCACGATGCCTCTTTGCTCCTACTTATGGTGATGAGAGGCAAGAAAATTGCATATTTTGGTCTCCCCGCAGTAAATGCTGAAGACTTCCCTCTCCCCTCTCCACAGGCTAAGCCACACACCTGCAGTTCAGGACCTCCTGGGTACAAAGATGCACCTATTGCAGCTGGACAGAGAGATGGCTGCGGTCCATTCCTTACTAATCTGTTAGTTCCACTGTTTAATGATGGTGGGTTGCATGGTTTGAGATCTGGAAATAAGTGCTAATTTTTCACATGGAAAAAAATAATGGCCTGTAGTGGAGACCCAAGGAAGAATAGAAAAATACTAAGGAAGAGGATAAAGCTCAAATTTAAAAAGAGATCTAAAGTCAAAGAATTATGGAAAGCTTTTTCTAAGAAGCTGCCCTAGGCAAAGTGGTATTTATCCCACTTGTCATGGAGGTTGGTAATCTCCAGCCTATGAAGACTGAAAGAAAGAATGCTGCACTATTACTCTTTCATTTCAGGAAAAATAAGGATTGTAGCAGTTATAATTTCTGTTCCTTATCAAATACATAGAAAGAAGTTGCTGCAATTCCTCTAATGTCATCCATCAATTGAATTCTGTAGAAACTTGATTTGCCTAACAGCACTTAAGGCAGCAAGTTTGCAGGCATCATGGAAATACACTTAAAGCAGAGTGTCCTTAAGGAAGGGAATATGAAGCAGAGTGCTCCAGTATAGAAGCAATGAGATAATAAAATGTAGAACTCTCTCTCACAGTCACATAATGGCAGGTAATTATCACCATCGTTATTAGAACAGAGGTATGGCCCAGTAGGGGATGTTTAATCTCCAGAAAAACTCCATTTGTTAGGATAAGGTATTTCCACTTTTGCTCAGCTGGCACTGCATAAATAATAATGACAACAGCGTTGATCTAATTTTTGGCTTCTCCAAGGCTGCATTTGGTCCACAGATGGATCTTTGAGAATATATGTGTTATAGGAAAATACTTACTGATAATTTGATTTCTTCTGCATTGTGAGCAGGGCTCAGGAACCTGCCTGTTCTGCCCTTTTCAGGAAACAGCCCACCAAAGCCCAAAGGATACCCCATTGGTGGTGATGGAGATTTATGATCTATTTTCTTTTCATGACCTCTGTGAAGTGCATGAGATGATAAAGCACTGTCACTTCTTGAACCTGTGATACTGCCTTGGCCGTGTAAAGCAGGAGTGCAGTTTCTGTGGCACCCACTGGCTGTGAACGTAGCAGTCTGCTGCTGTTCCACTTCCCATGCGTCTTTCTTTTGGAAAGTTCTAAAAGAGATAAAAAATCAAAGTATGAAAACCAGCTAAAACTCTAAACTATCTAAGCCAAGGTTTTTATTTTACTTGTTTGTGCAATTTTGATTGCTTAGCTGTTCAAGCTGCTTCATGCATGCTGTTATATGGGCATAAGTTTAAGCCCAGTTGCAGCAATTTAGCAGCTTTTCACCTAAATTACTGTAAATATCTGAGTGTGCCTTCTCTGCCTGCCTCAGCCGTGACTTAAATCCCACTAATTTAATTCCTTTCACTGAAGCTTAGGTTGAGTAACCTTGCCGTGTAATTATGGCAGGACAAGAGCTAAAACACAAACTCACTTCAGTTATTGAAGATACCAATAGTCCTTAAGTGGTTGTTACCCATCGTTTGCTGAAGGTTGTCATCCCTTTAGCTTTTTGGTGGAAGAAGCTATGTAAGCTTACAGGGGGATAGAACCTAGAATGAATTTAGCCACACAAATAGAAGAAATGAAATATGAAAGTGTGAGATGGGAAAACAAAATGTGTTATTAGTGGTTGGATAAATAGTAGGCTTTGATCTAATATTGCCCTTAACAATGACGTTCAACTAGCTAGAATTCAGAATAAATGTTTACATAAGTTAAATTAAAAAATAGCACAGGAATCTTTGATCCTGCATTTTTACTGCAATACAAATTTTGCCACTGATTTAATGATAATACATTGGAGACTAATATGAGAAATAAAGAAATATTTGAAATGCGCTTTTTAAAAATTATACAAGAGTGTGCTTTTGTAACAATAAGTGATTTTTTCAAGCTTACAAAAGAATTTTTAAGTATTTTATTATGATGTTCCATAACTCTTGTATCACATTTACAAAAAAAAGAAGAATTTGCCAAGCACAGGGAGAGGACAGTGTTTTCTGCAGAAAGATCACACCATCATTTTTGAATCTTAATTTAAATATTTGGTGTTGGGAGAGGGTGGCTGTGCAGTCTTAATGGACCCTGCCTGTACATACGCCCTGAAACATGAAACTGAGTACTCCATAAATGGACTGTGCAGAGCAACTCAGAAAACTAATGAAGAACATATTTTTCTCTGATTATAGAAGAAGTAGTGATTAAGATACTCTGAATGCTACAAGAAAGCAAATTATAAGCATGCTGCTATAATATTATTATTACTATAATATTATTATACATTCTAACATAAAACTCGCTGAGAATATTCACCAAACCTTCCAGTTTTCTAAATCACCTAAAGTGTTTACCTTTATGGGGGCAGAGTTTTCTCCTTCCTTTCATGCTTTTCTTTAAATAAATATACTCTGCTCTTTGGGCACAGGATAATACCTTTTTTCTTCCCTCTCCCTGCCCCGTCCCCCCTTTTTAAGGTCCATTCCGTCTATTGTTTGGATGAAAAAACCTGACACAATTGAAGATAGATGGCATGAATAATAAAATCTCAGATTTTTTTTCATCTTGTGTTCTGACCTTTTGGGAAGCAATTTCCTCTGTAAACCCACAGTAAAGTCTATGTGATCTGTGCTCGCTCTTTCCTCCATAACTGCTTCTCTGTGTATTTGATAACAGTTATTACTGCTATGTTATAGCTTACTTCACTAAGGCCAGAATTTTCAGACTGGGGTGCCTACAGTTTGGTAGCTTTTAGATAGTAAAAACAGACACCTTCCGCCCCCCGAAAAAAGGACTGATTTTTTAAAGGAGCTCCACTTCCTACTGTAATCCATAGGATTGCTGGGGCTGTTTGCTATCTTGGAAAAACATGACACCTACATTTAGGTGCTTTGATATGGATGCTATGCCTTCACTTCAGACAGATTTCACAGTTGGTGTTTAAATTTCTGCCAGTTCAGTGCAAAATAATAATGAAGAACAGAGTTCTACTTTGAATACCAATGTAAAGGTAGGCAAATATCTGCAAATTTGTAAAAACCTGTCCATGTGTTAACACCGGCAATGCAAATACACTGTAAGTGCAGTTGAATAACTTACACTTTCAGTGGGTTTACTGTCATAGAGAATTTAACATATACACATACTTCACAAAAATAATATCTCTGTTGACATGGCGACATATGGGACAAGAAATGAAAGAACAATGTGCTCACAAAGGGAATTTATATAAACAGGATCAATTTTTTCAGACTTATGTATAAAATCAGCCTGGTCGCTATGCAATCAGTGACTTCAGTGGCACAAAACAAATTCCTTGGCCAGCTTGTTCTGGTTGACATACCCAGCCTTGAGAAAGAAAACAACGGATTATTATTGTCTTCACAGTTCTTGTTGCTTTTACCTTGCAAGTATAACTGCTAGCTTGATTTTAAAAATGGTTAAAAGAGATCTCTGAAGAGATTGTTTTCACGGCTTCCAGTTTATTTACTGAAACAACTGATACAGTGGTATGACTAAGAGTGTGTGACCTCCAAAGGGTATCAAAAAATCTCCTTCAGAGAGATCCTTTAAGCGACGCCCAGCTGCCTTAGTAGGCATTGAGTCCTAGCCTTTCCCCCTCACTTTTGCCAATGATGAAAGTGCACTTCGGCTTGACCAGTTACCTATTTTGTGTGTATTTATATGGTAAATAAGTAGCCTTTGATTTAGGAACCCACATGTATGTTTTAATTTTGGAAGAAGCAGGCTAAACACATCAGCCTCATCAGAGAAAGCCCTCTTCAACCATGCCAAAAATTAAATCAACTGTATGTAGCAAAGGTCTAAAGAAAGGATTGAAATTTTTGAGGGTGGGGAAAGTTTATGTAAATGGCAAGTAGAAGTAAGTCAGTTATCATATATAAGAACAGTAATTAATTAAAGTGGTTACAGGAAGGATGTGGCCACAGTCTCTTTTAACAAAAAGATGCCATTCCTGCATATCTTACTTTGTAATACTTAGAAAGTCACTGAAGATTGAAAGAAAGAAGAAATCGTGCCTCTTTCTAAATTGCCAATGTAACTTCCTGCAATTTCCTGTATTTTCTCTAGAGGTCTCCTCTCTTGCTAATGACCGTGCCCATGCCTAGGTTTCTAGTACTGGTTGTGAGACAGGAGTGAAAAATACTCTGGAATACACTTGATTGAAGACATTTTTTTTCATTGTGCAAACCTTTCTATGTTTCTGAATGTAAACAGGAAAACCAAAAAGTGCAGCTTCTGAAAATTACTGTTCAAACACAAACACACCCCCTTTGCACAAACACCATGTTTTCTATTTTTTTACTATGTTAAAAAAGTCTTTGTGCCCTTTCTCCAGTGCCATAATTACCATGGAAACAGAACTGCAAATTAAAATAGAAATAACATGGTTTATGCTCACAATAAAATAAAACACACCCCAGAGTTTAACTGAACCAACATCAATCGCCTGGTTTATCTGCATACATTTGATAGTCGAAAATTTAATTTCAGTTTTCTGAGAAAATCTTGAGGCAGTTCCCTGTTTGGGAACAGAGAAGTGACTGTATAGAGAGGGCTCAATCTTAAAATGCATGGCTGGCTGATGTGTATGTACAGTGCATGTGGAGTTTGCACATTTTTTGAAATCTGTGTATTTATTTAGCTAAATAGCTTTTCATTTTGAAAATCAAATGCACATTTTAGATCCTGAAAATGAGGCTCAATGTATGTGTTTCACCAGATTAGTTAGAATCGTAATTTAAATCGTGTTCAGTAGTGTGGTTGAGATTCAGTTCTGAGAAAGTTTAGCTCATCCAGGTTTCTCTCTCCCAATTTTGGTTTAAAATTGATCTTCAATGGCTATGATATCAAAATCCTGCAAATTACCTGCATAGTTCTATTGTCTCTTACACTTAAATTCTCATTAATGAAATTTCACCATTCCTGATGTACAGCAAGTGTAATTCCTGAGAAAATGGGGGAAAAAAAAAATCTTTCTTTTTTTCACTTGAGTTGAAGCATGAGCAAAAATTATGCTGACCAATTTTTGGTGAGATTAGAAGACCTGCAGGTGCAGAGTAGTCTGTATCTTGGTTTGTAAATATTTCTTTCAGCAAAACCTTCCACGTAATTTGAAACTTAGCAGGAAAACAGCCATACTTGCCACTTCCATATATATTTATGTGTGTATTGTGTATATGCATATATATATGTGCATACATACATATAATATATATATTTACATACACATCTATTCTAACTCCAACACTAAACATCATATTTAAAAGTAAATCTTAGGCAAGAATGTAGCTACATGTAATGGTATGCCTTTCTATTTTGCAGGAAGAAAATAACTTTAAATTTTTCCAAAGACTGAATGTACGTGTTTGAAATCTTAACCTGTACAATTTTGGCTCAAATTATTTAAACTGTGCGTCACAGAATTTTTTTACATTAGTGCTATCATGTAAGTTGTTTATTACAAATGATCAAACTATTTAGCTTCCTATTAATTTTTACTTTCCTGTACTGAAAAATATTGTTTTGCAGGTAGTTTAATTTTCTTTTCATTATTGCAACACCATGATTATAAGATGTTTGAAGGTAATTCAGTGCTTCACTGAATATAAGGAATTAAGAAGAAAGTCATTGCTACAATGTTTTCTATGAGTCTGAGTATACTTAAGTCTCATTATTTTTCCCCAACAAGAAATTTATTGTAGTAATGATTTATTTGGGGCATCTGAAATTATGTTTCTTTTAAAAATCAGGCCACCCAAGAACACCAAAACTAGACAAGGCATTAAAATACGTTTAATGAAACTCCCAACAAATGAAACTGGCGGGACACAAAGCTTTTCAGCAGGGGCTGTAGTTCAAACTGCTTATTAAGATAGCCTCCTGTAGAGCAGTTTACCTCTTATGTTGGTTTTTATATCCTTTCCTTGTCTTGTTTTTATCTGGCAGTAAAAATCCATTCTGTCTTGTTTTGCAAAACCTGGAACTAAGAATAACTTAAGCAGCACATAAAAAGTTTTTAAAGTTGTTTCATGTGACAAATATTAAAATAATGATCAAACGTTTCTGGGACTTCATTTATTGACAAATTCAAGGAACCACCCAGAAAAAATGTAGGAAATTCTTACAAATACACTAACTGATGTAGGTCTGATATTTATGTTGATGGGAGTTCTGAATGAACAGAAACAGAAAAAAAGCTTAACAGTTTGGCCCAGTTGGATGTTTCCAAAAAAATTTATGGGAAGTTTTATATATGTGTACAATCTAAATATTACCTCTCTTCCTTTTCTTGCATCTCTGAATAAGTTTGGTGGCTGTGCTTCGTTTCTCCAGGCGTATCCATGCGACCCAGTATCGATATTTCTGTGTCATTGTGTAGTTTAACAAAACTATCTTGTAATCCTGCATTCTCATGTTGCAGTTTGTGAATGGAAGCTGTGAAATTTCCATATTCTTTGTTAGGTAAATCTATACTCTGCAAAAGGAGATAAACCCATCATTAAATAGTTTTTTTTTCCACAATAAACACATATTAGTATTTTTAACAAGCAAACACAAAGCAATGTTCTATGCTAAAGAAAGACCTAGCTACCATATATAATCATATAGCAATCATATAGCACTTATAGTAAACCAAGAGAATTGCCTCCAGAAAAAAACCAACACTGTGGATAAATGGTAAAGAAAAGATAGCCTCTGTAACACAGTAAGACAAATTAAAACTTCTAAACAAACATGCATTCAAAATATTATTGTAAATTCATTGCTTGCTTTGTAAAACTTATGATATAAAACCAACCATAACAGCTATAGCTGCAGACTGTATTGCTTCCTCCAGTAACAATTCCACCAAAATCAACAAGAAAAATTATACAAGTTTATTACTATACTAGATACAGTGTCTGTCTACAGGCATAATTTAATATCTGTGTCTAGATACAGTCATCAGCAGTTTCAGCAGTAAGGCCACATTGGCACAGTGCTCTCTGTCTGTGTTACTAAGCCCTGCTTCTCGCTTGGGTTGGCCCACGTGATATAAAAATCAAAATACCAAAAGTGCAAGCAACCAATGCACTGCACCAGGGGCTAAAGAGGACCAGCAACTGGAATATCAAGAGAGGAAGATGGAGAACGGTTCTGGAAGTTGACTGCCCAGAATACCCTGTTCCTTTTTTGTCCTATCACTTATTCCATGAAGCCTGTGCTGCACACTGAGCTAGCAAATTTGGAATTGCCTCTCCGCAGTATATTGCATTGCGCTGTGTAACTGCACATTTGCAATAACAGCACACTGTCATCAATTCAGTCAGAATTGTCAGAAAATTCTCAAAAGATTTATCACATTACACATAAAACACTAAAAATCCACACATTTTTACATTGTGATTTCATATATTTCTAAGTTTACCTTACTCTGTTGGAACCCAGTAACTCATGACTACTGAGGATTTGTCTCTTAGCATGCTGCTAGCCACTTGGGCTCCTGTACCTGAAAGCTCATATATTCCTTGCATTAACTGGTCTGATGTCATCTCTTCCTACACACCCTGCCTTGCTTAGCTAGTTTTAAGGGAAATTCATGATCCAAGCTGGCATGGAAGCACGAGAAAGTATAAGAAATGTTAATGTTTTGTGCAAGGATGAGGGGGCAGGGGCTCAGCTGTGTCTCCCAAGTGGAGAGGAGTGGCAGAACGGAGGAAGAAGGAGAGTGCTCTGTCACGCTATCACCAAGAACTTTAGAATCAGCAGTACAGTTATAATGGCGTGAACTCCAAAACTGAGCTGGCACAGCTGCATTTCTTTTGAAATCTAAACAAGTAACCCTGCCTGATGATGCATTACACCATATTGACTTAGGCTGGCACTAGTCTGAGGAGTCCGTGCAGTGCTCTACTGTACTGTATAAACACATCTGTAAAAATCTCTCCAGTCCCTGCAATCTTAATACTCAAATACCTCACAGTCGTTAATGTTTAGGTCCTCACAGTACACTAGTAAAGTAGGAAAGAATTAAGTTCACAAACGCATTGATATGTGTAGCAACCTTAATATATCTAGTAACTGGATTTTACAGTTAAAATTTAACAAACACATGATATCTACAAGGATTCTTGTCAGACAGCTCTTCTTAATCTTCATGAAGAATATCACATCCATCTATGTTTCCACAATCATATATCACATATACACATACACTTTTTAATATATATATATATATGTATATATACACTTATATACACATATACCTATATTCATAATATTGTCTATGTATATATAGGTACACACCTACATCACCCATACATCACCAAAAGACATACATGCTATTTTAAGGGTGTTGAAAATGTCACATTCTTTCATGCATTTGTCAGTCTACAGTAAGGCAATTAATGGACTACAAATCCCCCAAAGATATATTTACAGTAGTATTTACAAGCAACATTCCAGTGTTTTTTTTCTAGTGATAGATACAGTAACTGCAGATGTTCTGTAAGCAAGGGACGTGTTGAAGCTTTTTGTGGAAGGCAGTGTATTTATTTATTATATCCATAGAAACTATAGCTCTATGTGATATTAAGGCACACTATTTATGATTTAAACTTTAAATATCCATTGTTTTAAGAGAAGTAAATACTAAACTGAAAATAAGCTGCGGGGCGGCAAAATGTGTCAGTTTTTTACACTGTTATGTAAATATCATATGAACAAAAGGGTAAAATAGTAAAAAAGTGACATATCTTTGTATGTGAGAGTGATGAATGTTTAAAAGAAATATTTTGTGAAATAAGTGATGTCACTTACAAAAAAGAGGCTCCCAGAGCCTGTATAGTGTCTAGACAGTTACTGAAAAATTTAGCTTACTTCTAGATTATTACAAGGCCAAAATTATTCCTAGCTATGCCCATCTGCAGGCTGTATGTGAATACTGCTTGGTTTTGATTACGTCACACACCTTATTTTTACTTATTTTTTTACACAAGCCCGAAATCTCTAAATCTGCCAAGATCTCAATCTACATTTACAATAAATACAAGTAACTGTTCTTCATATTGCATACATTAAAAGAAAAAAAAAATTACCGTGCAGCTTTTACACTCCTGGTTTTCCACGATCTCTTTTAGATGTGTGTTTTCAGATTTGATAACTTTGTATTGGAAATCCAGCAACTAGGAAAAGATTAAATCCTTGGTTAAATACAAGAATATTACTGTTAATTTGAAATAACACTGAGTATAGATGTATGTAAGTTTAATTCTACAAAATGTGCATAAAGAGCTATGAAACTAACTATAATTTTTTTAATATACAGCAATACTAAAGCAGAAAGTCTCAAATCATCTATAAAAGACATACAAATGCAATGCCTCTGATTTTATGTATCTTTTTGAAAGAAGTAATCACTTGGGAAAATAAGAGAGGTCACATGCAGTTATGAGATACAAAGAGGGACAGGTATTGCAGGCCACTGAAACTGGATGCAATCCTAGTTATGGTGCCTAGGAATGACATCCACTTTTAGTGGCAGAATAGGGAATATGGCCTGGTAAAGTGTGCCACACAGTAGGAGATGTCTCTCATTTTCCCACGCGCTAACTTTCCTACTGTCAAAAGTAAAGTATTACATTAATCACAATTTTCGATTTGCAGTGACCATCTTGGAAAACTCAGAGATACCCAGAAACCTCTAAACATGAAGGTTCTTTTGGTTTGCAAAACCAAGTAATGAAGATATATTTGTTTTTAAAACTGAAATTTGCCCTTAAAACACTAGTATCTTACCATTTCCAGCTTTAAAATTACCAGAATTTTCTAAGCAGGTTTGTAACAAATCTTCAAAATATCTTCAAAAAGTTTTTTAAAAACTTGAAAAATTAGGACATGTTCTAAAATAACCTCATAAATAGTTTTAATGATAGATCGCATATAATAACAACGAACTAGAAGTTTTCAAGATCTTTTGGATATTAAAATGGTCGCTGTGTTTGATGGCCCGGATGAATTGCAATTTTGATGTACAATTGACATTTACTGGTGTTTTCTTGTTCCAGTATCAATTTGGCTGCTTTAGTAATACTGCACAGATATTACAGCACTGCTGATGAAAACTACAGCAAGAAATGTACTGTCTTTTTTCACAGATAACGTATGTCATGATCAATAGTGTGGAGTAAAATGATCTAGACTGGTTTTGCCTGCTTGCATACCTGTTGTTTTGCTAACAATTTGTCTTTTATCTCTAACTCCATTTTTAACTGTCTTTCCAGAAGACTTGCTTTCTCCATGATAGTTGCTATAGTGATCTCCTTCTGATGGAGCACTTCTGTCAGGTCACAGATTTCTGTCTTCATTCGTTCCTGCTCAGAGCAATGGGACTGCTCCTCTTGATAAACATGGTTTCTTATCTGTAGCAAGTATGTTTCAAAAAGAAAAAATGCTGTGTGGCAAATATGATTGCATCATTTGCTACCTACCACTGACTTTCTTTGCTGTTGCCTCCAAGACACCAACTATTTTAACCCAATCAGATTTTCGAGATGGTATAATAAATGTCTTCATGAGTCAGTGCACGTAGCTTTATTTAGTTTTACATCTTTTTTCAACCCTTCTCTTGTGCTTTCATTTGCCTATTTAGTACTAGAAATTAACAAAATAAAAGGCATTTAAATTAACATTTTAAAGAATGTAATAAAAATAATGTTAATTTGAAGAATTGAAAATTATGGTAAAGAATATCCAAGGAAATATCCATTCAATAAACCTAAGTATGATTTATTTATATTGCTCCTAAGCTAATTTAGGTTTAAAGTAAGTTTAATGCAGCTTAAATTAGCTTAGAAGCAATATAAATAAATCAATATAGAGACTCTTTAATGAGAAACTATGTTAGAAATAAGGAGTATATATGGTAAATTACTTCAGGAGAATTTTTCCTGCCATTATATATAAAATATAAGTTCGAGCTTTCTGCACTATCTTTTGTGCAGAGTTCTCAAAAAAAATCAACACAAAGATTGTTTTCATCATCTTTCTACTATAACCAACAATTTAGTACTGATAGAGTTTATTATGTGAGAACTAAAAGTACAAAAGCCAGCATAACAACCTTTGAACCCATTTTAATAATTCCTTGCAGAACTGTACAGAACCAGTAACAGATGGCATTTCATTTTTATTTATGTAAACTACACAGAAATACTGGAATTGTAAACAAATAGATGTAGATACAAAAACCGTAAAAGCTAGATCATGGCTATCATGCCAAAATTGCTGCATTCAAGTCAGCTGCATCCAATTAGAGATATTCCTGCTTACTCAGGAAAACCACGCCATGCCTGTAAGAGGAGTTCTGAGCGTCCTCTACTCCCAAAGTGTTTTGGCCTGTTGAACCATTCCACAGAGCCATGCCACTACTGCCTGCATACAGCACTTCTGAAATCTGCAATGCAATCTGAGGCACAGTTCAAACCAAAGAGCGCTGCTCTAGACTGTGCAGCAAGTGACTGATCAAGCTTCGCCTTGTGTGGGTACCTGCCATCTTGACTTGTATCAGTTGATCTGTTGGCATATCATCTGAGACCACCTACTAACTACTGCTTACCTCCTATAGCCTATGAATACTCATAGCCTTGGAGGATTTATTACTTGCATGGTATCATCTGAATCACAGCGATGCTTAAGCGTGGTCTTTTCCATTATTTCCTTGAAGTAGCTAACTCTGTTGTTAGTGCACAGAATCAGAATGTCAATTTTACAGCTATACAACTGCCTCCAGAAATTTAACCATATATGAAAACTTTTTAATATATATGAAAACTTTGTGCTCTCCTAAAACCACTCCTGCTGTCTTCTGCATATGCACATACCCAAGGTCAGTACTTTGCTCTCTTCTAAAAATCCTATATGGCAGTTCAGATCTGGAAATACTTAATAATATGAAATACCTTGTTTAGCTCTTCCCGTTGATGTTCTTGACCTTGTGCCAATAGTAATAACTCAGCATTTTTATTTTCTAGTTGCTCAGTAAGTTGTACACAAGATGATTGATGCCTTTAAATAAGAAATAAACAAAACATGAAACAAGCAGAATGTCCAATAACCTTTACCTTACAGTATCCTTGCCACAGTGTAAAACTGTGGAAGATGTGCTCACTGATGAAAAAAACCCAAACAAACAGAACCAAAGTTTTGGCTTAAATCAGGTTGGATCTTGGCAGATTTCTAGACATTAAGGATAATGCAAATGCGTGCAGAAAGCATCCTGAAATGTCTTGTAGATTATATTTCATATAATCTCAAATAGCTACAGTAGATTAGATAAACCATAAAAAGAAGAACATTTTACTCAGAGGAGGTTAGGGAGAATCTTAATTGCACTACTTCCAACATGTTTTAATGCTGAGAAAATGAAAGACACTGTAAACATAAAAACAGAAATATATGAAATGCATTGATTTGTAAAGATCTAGCAGCATTAAAGCCTTTTATCAGAGCCTGCATCTACTGCCTGCAATCTTGTCATATATAATTGCCAATGAAAATGTTTTTTTCTAAAATTATTTAGAAGCTGACATTTGAATCCAGAGTATCTTTTTAAACGGATTTAATTTAAATCAAATGTAAGAAAGAAGTTATTAACTCAGAAGTATATGTTAACTTAAATATTGCCTTCAACATACATACTTTATTTGAGTTTCCTGCATATCTTTATACTCTCTGATTTTCAATAATTCTGTATGCAAGTGTTGGCATTCCAATTGTATCCTTCTCCAGAGAGCATCCCGTGACTGCAGCTCATTTCTCATTTCTGAAAAGCCTGCCTCCATGTTCTAAATAAATAAGCAAATACAAAGATAGTTAATAAAATTAGACAGTTCAAAATACTGTATTTTAATACATAATTTTTGATACCTGTATAATTTGTATGAAAGGTCATACATGTTTTTATTTTGTGTTTCATTTCTGAAAAAGGCATTGCTTTTGTGTCAGTTCCTTCCTCCAGAAATGCCATCTAAAAATCAGATGCTGACTATTTTTTAGCTCTTGCAATATTCCAATGCATCTATCTCTGAAACTATCATAGAAAACATCATTCAGAAGCTCTTTATAGTACTAAATGCATCTAAAATGCATAGTTTGCTTGTTTCAGCAGGTTCTGCACCCTAGAACATACTTCACATACAAGAATCAGTTCTTTACTATTTTCCTAACAGCATTTCCGAATTTATAAGCTTAAAGACTACAAGGCTAGAAAGGCGGGATTAGGTGCACATCTTCATTAAACATTGCCTGGAAGCTTGGAGTAGGTAACACCTGGACTTACGTACTTAGATAAAGTGTGTGCTCAGTCATCTCCAAAACTAGTCCTATCTGCATGGAGTTAACTGCTTTATTTAAATAAATATCATAAAATTTTCAAGTAGTCACAAAAAGAACTTTCTTAGGAGCTCCACAAATTTTATCTCTATTTTACCTTTAATTTCTGATTGATAATGTCATAGACAACCTGAAGACACACATGACATTTGGCATCATAAAATCTGAATTCCCCAAAAATGTACTGAAAACATATTAAAGATAAGGACTTACAATATAATCCACAAATAACAAAACCAGCAATAATAATTAAAAAGTTGCAGTAATAATATCCAGAGAATATTTATTTCACAGAATCACAGAATCACAGAACGTTAGGGATTGGAAGTGACCTCAAAAGATCATCTAGTCCAATCCCCCTGCCGGAGCAGGAACACCTAGATGAGGTTGCACAGGAAGGCGTCCAGGCGGGTTTTGAACGTCTCCAGAGAAGGAGACTCCACAACCTCTCTGGGCAGCCTGTTCCAGTGCTCTGTCACCCTCACTGAGAAGAAGTTTCTTCTCAAATTTAAGTGGAACCTCCTGTGTTCCAGCTTGTGCCCATTACCTCTTGTCCTATCATTGTTTGTCACCGAGAAGAGCCTGACTCCATCCTCGTGACACTCACCCTTTAAATATTTATAAACATGAATGAGGTCTCCCCTCAGTCTCCTCTTCTGCAAACTAAAGAGACCCAGCTCCCTCAGCCGCTCCTCATAAGGGAGATGCTCCACTCCCTTGATCATCTTTGTAGCCCTCCTCTCACTCAAGATCAAAGGCATATTCCAGGTTAAAAAAAAAAAAGGATTTTCCAAGGATGTTGATCCTTAGCCTTTAAAACTATTACACTAAAAACATTAGTATTTTTCATAATTCCTTCATTTTATTTCAACATGGTTTCTATGTTTAAAAGCAAAAATAAAGTCTTTAAACTTTCAAAAGACAACTGGATCCCAGAAATGACACCGCAAGCAGGGAACTTCAAAGGTTTATTTCCCTTCGAGCCCCATGTTAGAGTGACCTTCCTTCCAAGAAGCCTGTGGGTTTCCTCTGCCTGAAAGGGCTGCTGAAGTCAGATATGAAGCGCTTTTGCGTTTTTTTATAGGGCTGCGCATACAGATTCATTCATCTTATCCTTTGTCAAATTAAGGCTGAGAGAGCTTTTTTAAATTCTGCAATGCAAGTCTGGGTATATTCATGTGAAATAAAGCTTAATGAATTGTTAAAATTGTCTGCAAGACTTGCTTATGATCATCTTCATGACTTCAACATTCAAGAAATAGATGCAAATTTTTTATAATATATGAATTTGGGGGATGTTTACCCCTCTTGATTTCATTCTGGGGTGGACAAGCGGAATGAATGCAGCGCAACTGTGTGGTGGAAGTCATATCATCTGTGGCAGACTGCAGTCATCATACATACTTACATAAATTGTATTTTCTTCTGTGAATTATAATAATAGCAGGAACAGCAGCAGCCACAGCAGCAGCCACAATAATAATTGAAACAGCACTTCAGGTCAAGAGTTTCACACATCACTTCAAAAAAAAAATCACTTAGATATGTACTACTTATTATTTTTAGGAAATATCTATTGCATCTAGTTAAAACATCAAAATGAAAATTTATTTTGAACCAGAAAACTTTAGATTTTGTTCAGAAAATATCCAATTAAATATAACTTAAAAAGTTATATTTTTTAAGTTTCAAATTTAAAAAATTACCAAATCCTCTTCTTCTGTGAAAAGTTTTGCTTCAACTAGCTTGCCGTGTTTGATATCAAAAGGAAGTCTCAAAATTTTTCTGATCAGCTGCTGTTCTAATTCTACTCAAAGCTGTTCAACCATTTTAATACAATTACATGCTGTATTTTAATGTAAATTAATGTCCGTTAGCTGACTTCATGTAGCCTTTCCAAGAATCAAGCCTACTGTGTGATGTTTGCAGGCTGCCTCTCATGTATGGCTGCAATGAAGTTTGTCAGACCATTCCTAAGGTAGAGAAATAGTCTGCAGTATCAGTTTGGACCTTCTACAGTTTGTATTTTCTGTACAGCCAACAAACATGCATTTCACTTTATTACCATTTCCTTGCTAATTAATAGTATGAGAGAAATATTTAGAAGCAGACATGAAATTATCATAGGCATATAAGATAAAAGAAGCATAATACTAGGCTTGCTGTCATTGCCATCAGCCTTGTCCCCATCAAGGTTCCCAACTACTCCTCCCTCCTTTACCCACATCAGGTACAACTATTCCCATCCTCCACTCAGCACTCCTTCACACAAACCTGCTTACTTCTGGCTGACAACAGGCCTTGTACTTCCTTCTTTCTCACACAAGCATGCCTAGAAAAAGATTTTCTCTGAGCTACATGTTTTTACCATACATTGACTTTACATCAGTGTTTCCCTTCTGCAGCTATTTGCAAATGTGGCTTTTCTAACCAACACAGAAATATTCCACAAAATCAGCACAGTAATTTGCAACTTTCTGCCCTTTAGCTGATAAAGTTATGTACATCTAGCTCTACTTCTACTTAAAATGTCTTCAGTGCTTCCTGCAGCTCCTGTATTCTGTTCACACGATTCCAGAAACCATCTTGCTTGAAGTTTTCCTTAAAGGCACAATGACATCTGCTCTCTCTGTTGGACAGCATCTATCCACCTGCTTCAATTGCAATAGACTAGACTAGACTAAACTAGATGAGACTAGACTAGAACAGACTATTTCAGTTGGAAGGGACCTAACAACAAAAGTTAAAGCATGTTACTAAGGGCATTGTTCAAATGTCTTGTAAACAGTCAGACTTGAGGCATCAACCAGCTCTCTAGGAAAGCTGTTCCAGGGTTTGACCAGCCTCTAGTAAAAAAATGCTTCCTAATGTCCAGCATAAACCTCCCCTGGAGCAGCTTTGAACCATTCCCGTGCATCCTATCACTGGGTACCAGGAAGAAGAGATCAGCATCTCCCTGTCCACTTTGATTTGTTTCACTCCATATTCTAGTCCCACTACTTTCAATAGGAAAAGTGCCTATTTAACAGGCTCCAAAGCAGAGGTCTTTGCTTGCATACTGATAATGAATAACTTGGTGAACTAATGTGCAGATGAAATGTATGAACAACACATGTGCTAAACTTGGCAGTTCTTACAACACCTGAAATTCACCTCCACCACATATATGTTAATACCTATAAAGCATATTGCATATGAAGTTGTAACTCTGCAAGGTTATCTATGAGCAGAAATAGATTATCTTCCTCTAGAAAGAGTGAAAGTCACTGTAGGCCACTCAATATATTACTGAACCTGTAAGTGCTTACATAAATAAGCAAAACCATAATTTATATGTGTCACCAGAAAAAATAACCATTACAATCTCATTCCTGATCTGTTTCAAAAATAGCTAATAAAAAAGGCTGTAAAGATCTTGTATTATCTCAATGTTGTCAAAACTCATATATAATGACCAAAAGAGGAGGCCCAAATGGCTTTTTTCATAGATCCATGTTACGTTGAAAAGCGGTACACTAGGGATAAGATGAAAACTGATGGTTCTTCACATGGCTAACAACTTAAAAATTAATTTCTTGCAAAATCTCGTTTCAATAATAAAGTATACTATACAGTTTTCTATATACTTATTTACTAGCTATTTAGCACAGTGTACAACAGAGTGTAAATCAGAGAAAGATATTTCATAGAGGTAATTTATATACAAGGAACCAAGTGAATTACGCTAAGTTTCTGTAGATACTATGGAAAGTTATAAAACCCTAGATAAACAGACAAGAATAAAATATACTACTACATATCAAACATATTTCTATTTTCTCTTCAAGTGTTACTCTTTGCAGCTCATTCTGTGTTCCTGTAAAGAATAAACCTAATGCAAGGATCTTTTATATAGGCATCTCAGGACAACTTTTTAAAGTATAATCCTAAATACTTAATGCTCTGACATTAATTCCACAGTCATCATGAAAAAGAAAAACTATTACTACCTGGCACTGGTCTTGGTACATTTTTAGATCCTCTCGGAGTTTCAGGTTTTCCTCTTCTAGTTTATTCTTGTTTATTGCTATTTCATTCACAGCTGCCTTTAGTTCTTCAATAATCAAATCATCCTTTTCACTTCTGGGCTGGTTATAGGTAATTACCTCTTCTTGATTTTGTTTCTTATTGCTTACTTGGAATGGGTAATTCTGGGTCTGCTTCTATAAAACAAGAAAATCTTTTACATTAAATTGAATAATTGTATGTAAATTGTTAGCACCAAACCATTACTACTAAAATCATAAAGCTATTTTCGTTTTCACCAGTATTTTCTTAAAAAAAAGGGCACAATTGGAACAGTTTACAGTACTTCTTTACAGGGTGCTTCCATGTTTTAGTCTCAAGTTCAAGGAAAATGCTTCAGAAATTTTCAAGGGCACAGATTTTTGTCAAGGATTTTTCTCCTCTGCTGTGTGTTTCCCTAGCACTTAATTAGCCCCAAATGTGAAAAAGGTGATTATGTTGACGTACTCAAAGCAGTTAACTATAAAAAATAATTTGAGAGAAATGTACCTCTTTGATTCATTGACCTCAGTAGGAGTCAATGTGTGTGCGCCTCAGGACAGAAATTAACCTTTGACTAGAGGTCTAGCATTACACAGTTCATGTATAAACAGCTCAGTTACTAAAGGAACTGCACTTCTTTGATATCATTATCCTTAAACTTGGGGAAGATCATTTGCACTTTCCACAGTCCCACACTCCATTCAGTTTCTAGTACTACTTAAAATCCTAAAACCAAAACTTCAGAAAATCGGTAATGCCAGTATTTGTGAATTCACAGGCATCACGAAGAAGCAGAATTACTATGGTAACTGGTTTTGCTGTTTAAAAAATCATCCACATTGATCCCTTTACTTAACAAACAGCAGTAATCTTTCAGAAGACTGAGAATTAGCTGAAAAATTACAGCAAAATATAAACTGGAAACCATATATCATGTGTAGACATCAAGCTGAGCAAGAAAATGTATATTAAAAATAAATATGGCTACAAATACCATATTTCATTGATAAGGACTGCAAAAAGGCACGCTTTAGATAGCTTTTGATGTCATCGGCTATGTTCCCCTAATTTGTGTTGGCTTAACACCTGAGTATAACTGACTGTTGACTGCATATCAAATAAAAAGCCAAAAGAAATTTGCAGGTAACTTTCATTTCAATAGGTAATAAGTTAAGATCACCCTAACATCTAAGTTACAGAGTGTGACATATCATGTCAAAGCACCCTGTGAAAAATATAGTGCAAGACTCCAGCTGGAAATCCAAGAACTCACAAAAGAGGACTTTGAGATTGACGCAGGACCAATCGATGCTTTTGAAACAGTTAAGGGCTATCAGTCCATCAGACTTCTATTTAATAAACTAGTTGGTGTTATGTTACAGTTGTGAAGAAATTGTCATCAAAGAAAACTGAAAAGCGAAAACTGTGGATGATCACCATGAGCACTCCATTTTAACTTCTCTGACTATAGAATCAACATGCATCAGTCTGTAGTTTTGTCGAGCCAACATCTTGCTTTCTTAGTACATTTGCATGGAAGCTCAATAGTTGCAATTTAATGCTTTCAGCATCTATAAACAAAAGTTAACTGTCATCCTTGGAAACTCTGTATATGGGTAAAGAGTTTCATAGGAATTGTTAAGAAAGTGTTTCACTAGATTTAAGATCCAATAAGCTTAGTAACAGTGGAAAAGGGGATTACCAGTCAGTAATGTAATTGGCTTCCCTTTACTTAATTTTCAAGCTGTCTTGTGGACCAGTTAATATTTAAATTATTTTCTGATTTTTTTTTATTTTCAGAGCAGGATAGGTCAGCAAGACATCATTAAATCAATATTTTGTTCTGGATTAGGAGGAATTAAAAAAATAAAAATATGATAGATCAATACGCTATATAAAAAAGTAATAAGCAAATAGACAAGTAAAAATAATCACAAAGCCATCCAAGGACTGAATGATAACTTGAAAGCTGAAAAAATATGTCAAGAAAAGACATAGGTGATCCAACAAACAACTCCAAGAGTGATTTTGGAGTAGCATAAAGAAATAAATTTTTTTGCATAATTTATATTAATGTATATTTATGATCTTCAAGAAAATTAGGGCTATTTTAGATTTGAGGGAACTTTGTGTTTAAGTCAACACAGTAATGGCATGTACTACTTAGTAAGATACTTTTCAATAACTTGTCATCACATTTAATTGCATATTAGTAAATAGCATAGAAGATAAAAGTGTCTCCAAGGTATACTTAAAAAGTAAAAAGGAATGCACACTATTTTTGCAGTTTCTAAAGTCAGAAATATTGTCATTTTCATCATGATACTTATTCAGTTTCTCATTTCATGAGAAAATAAAATTAAAATAACTGTATGTATCATTAGGTCTTTCAGTATAGCTCTGCCTTACCTAAAACAATGTATTCACTACCAACATATCGATGTATTATCAGATTCACTATAAGCTTAGTGGTGTTCAGATTTTTAAAATTAAGTTAAAATACCTCTAGCTGAGCTAACAGGTCATTTAATTCTCATTTTCTTTCTAAAGCAGGAAGGCAGGAATTTTACCTGAAATAAATTACATTTCTCGGACAATAATTTTTGTTGAGAACCTAAATAAATGAGATAATTTTGGCAGATTGTCCCCTTCTTATCCCATTCTCTTGATTTTGCCTTAAATTCCTGAAAGACAGCAAAACAAGGCTAGTAAACACAGGGAAAATAACTTTTTCCCTTCATCTAAATAACTTTGTAGTTTGTATAGTTCAAAGAAAAATCTATGTTTTGAAATGAATACATAATATTTCCATAATTTTGGAAAGAAGAGAAAAAGAACAATGATATAAACTAGCCATCCAGCCAACCGCACCAGAAGAAAATCCGGTCTTAAGGGCTGCTACTCTGAAAAAGAAAAAGGGTGGTAAACATAATCATTGAATAATAATGATAAAATATTTAAATCACTTCCATTGCTGTAGATCTTAGTTATGACTATTATATGCCCATTTTATTGGAGAGTACTTCCAGTGAATTTTAAGGTATATCAGTGCCAAGTAGAGTAATCAGCAGAGAAACAAATGTTTTGAGTGGTTGTTGGTTTTTTTGTTTGGTTGGTTGGTTTTTGGAATCATAGAATTGTTTGATGGGAAAAGACCTTTGAGATCATCAAGTCTGACTATAACCTAACTCTATCAAATGTGGAGCTAAACCATGTCCCTTAGTACCATGTCAATGCATCTTCTGAACACCTCCAGGGATGGTGATTCAGCCACCTCCCTGGAAAGCCTATTCCAGTATTTAATTACCTTCTCAGTGAAATAGTTTCTTCTAATGTTCAACCAAGACCTTTCCTGGAGCATCTTTAGGTCATTTCCTCTTGTCCTATCACCTGTTACTAGACAGAAGAGACCCACACCCACCTCCATACAACCTCCTTTCAGGTAGTTGTAGAGAACAATAAAGTCTCCCCTCAGCCTCCTCTTCTCCAGGCTGAACAACCCCAGTTCTCTCAGACACTCCTTATAAGTCCTATGCTCCAGACCATTCACCAGCTTCATTGCCCTTTTCTACACTTTTCCAGCACTTCAACATCTTCCTTGTAGTGAGGGCCCCAAAACCAAACATAGTACTTGAGGTGTGGCCTCACCAGTGCCAAGTACAGGGGCACAATCCTCACTCCTGCTGGCCACACTATTCCTAATACAAGCCAGGATACTGTTGGCCTTCTTGGCCACCTGGGCACACTGCTGGCTCATATTCAGCTGAGTGTCGACCAACACCCCCAGGTCCTCCTCCAGGCAGCTTTCCAGCCACTCATCCCCAGGCCTGTAACGTTGCATGGGGTTGTTGTGACCGCAGTGCAGGACCTGGCACTTGGCCTTGTTGAACCTCATGCAATGGGCCTTGGCCCATCCATCCAGCCTGTCCAGGTCCCTCTGCAGGGCCTGACTACCCTCAGGCAGATCAACACACCTGCCCAGTTTTGTGTCATCTGCAAACTTATTGAGGGTGCACTTCATCCCCTCATCCAGGTCATTGACAAAGGTATTAAAGAGAATTCGCCCCAGCACTGAGCCCTGAACACCACTTGTGACCGGCATTCAACTGGATTTAACTCTGTTCAGCACCACTCTTTGGGCCTGGCCATCCAGCCAGTTTGTTACCCAGCGAAGCATTCACCCACACAATCCATTCTCCATGAGAATGCTGTGGGAAACAGAGTCAAAGGCTTTACTATAAATTCAAGTCAAGTAAATAACATTCACAGCTTTTCCCTTGTTGGAGCAATAGGACAGTAGCTAGTGTGAATACTTTTACTTTTTGCTCTCTTTACAATTGCTGCTTCTAGTTCACCTAGTTGAAAAAAACCCTGTTTTAACAAATTCCATTGTATTAGTTTTATCTAATACTGGTTTTGTGTTTGCACTTATGTTCCTATTTATACCATATTTGAATTTGCTCTTTAATCATACCAGATCTTGTATGTTCGCAGCTAGACTTTAAAGGCAGTACCCTACAAAATAAGTAGGAGAACTTCAGTTACGAGAACTGTTGCTCTTTTAGTCTGAAGAATTAGCAAAATAACAGTATACTGTTTCATACAGTGAAAACTATAATATTCATAAGCTGTTATAAGAACTTCATTTTTAACAATGGAAATGTTGGTTCCAAGAATTTAAATGATATTTTATAATTATCCTAAACTGACATATTCCCCTAATTTAAAAAAATAAGATTTTATACTGAAACAAAATGAAATGCTTTCCAACATAGATTAATACAAATCTTCTCTTACAGCATCCATAATATCTGCTTTGCCATTTTAAGCCAATAAACATCTTCCCATTTTACAAAATGTGATACAAATGGAGTTTCAGACTACTTAATGAGGATGGCAGGTTCAAGGCCTTGCTAAAGCACTGCTGAGCTTAGTAGATTTTCAACACAATAATTATTTCCTGAATACTAGAATTTGCTGAATATATTCCGAGCACTCGTTTCTCATACTGCATAATTAATCAAATTATAGCATTGTGTTACATTATTTTTACATTTTAATCTTGAATAAGGTCATTCTCAAATTATCTGGATCAGGCAGTTTCACAGTAGTGATATATTTAGTCAATGATAGAAGTATAACTCATTTATTATTCCTGTAGTAGCAGAAGTTGGCAGCTATGCTGCAGTCCAAAGCGTAGGAGCTTTTCTGATGGTAAGGACTCTCCCATGTGGAAGAGACAGCAACAATGTTTAGTGATACTATGTGTCTAGGATGTGTCCTAGGCAATAACAATGTAGGAACAGTCACCTGAAGGATGCAGAAATTAGTCTTATATCTTACAGAATAACAGGAGAGAGGCAAGTCCAAGATAAATTTTCCAAGTCCAAAATCTAATTTTATTAGATTTTTAAGTTATTAGATTAGATTCCCCTGTGGGGACAGGCTGAGAGAGTTGGGCTGTTCAGCCTGGAGAGGGCTCCAGGGAGACCTTATTGTGGCCTTCCAGTTCCTGAAGGGGTCCTATAGGAAAGCTGAGGAGAGACTTTTTACAAGGGCAGGTAGCGATAGAATGAGGGGGAATGGCTTTAAACTGGAAGAGGGTAGATTTAGACTACATATTAGGAAGGAATTCTTTACTGTGAGGGTGATGAGACACTGGCACAGGTTGCCCAGGGAAGTTGTGGATGCCCCTCCCTGGAAGTGTTCAAGGCCAGGTAGGACAGGGCTTTGGGCAACCTGGTCTGGTGGGAGGTGTCCCTGCCCATGGCAGGGGGATTGGACTGGATGAGCTTTAAGTTCCCTTCCAACTGAAACCATTCTATGACTCTATGATTCTATGAGATTGTTAATTTTTGATTGTAAAGTTTTCAAGTTGTCTAAATAAAATGTCTAAATAAACTACATCAAAAATCTACATAAAATCTACATCATAAGCCTGTAAGTCTTCACAATTCTTAGCATCTAGGCAACTAGGTCTTACTTTCAACTGGTATTCCTCTGCTTACTTTCCATACAGGACTCAGTTCAGTAAACACTCGAGGCACACGCTACTTTACTACGCTCTTTACAAAGCATGACCAGAGAAAATGGACATTTTTTTGAGACCCTTCCATGCTTCATTGGCCTAGTGGTTAGACTGTTCTGACTATATATGCAAGACTCAGTTTAATAATATTTGCTCCAGACAACCTGAACCAGAATCTTCCCATGCTAATTTTCTACCTAACAAACAAATGTTATTTCAAAGTTGTTTCACTTTGCACAGGATACTCACAAAATTTATTGGCTAAGTAAAAAAGCAGCAGCAAAAATTAGTATAGCTAGATACTGCATCACTCAGTTATAAGAAATGAGACTGGATATCAGTCTCTGCACCACCGACTGTCACCAGGAGAGTATTTGGGGAGAAGCCGCGACTTGGAGGCACACTCTATTTTCCAGATCTCTGTGCTGGTGAACTCTCCTGCTGGCTCAATAAATATTTGATTATTGCACAGATCATAAAGTAACTTCTAACTTTGAGAAGTCAAGGCCAGGAATTATGATCAGAAATCAGTATCTTCCTGTATCTAACAATAATCCATTGTGTGTCCAGAGGGATACGCAATGTGACCAAATCCTGTCCTCAGCATCTCACAAGATCTAATCCTGACTCGGTATGCTGGGTTCTGTGGAAAGTATTTTCAAGTGCCTTCCTCATGTATTACCTAGGGAAACTACGCGCTGAGGTCAAGGTTGTGGATTGCCTCAGGCACACAAGTGCTGACAAGATATGTGTATAACAAACGGTTTTCCAGTCCTAAATCTTTCTTCTATCTAGCCCTTCATGGTCAAAGTTGTCCTGAGTCTATAAAACTTGAATTAATGATAGGTATTATGTGACAGTATCCTGCATACGTAAAACATCTAATGCCTCAATAGATTATATTCTTTAGTACACATATATTAATCTGGAAAAAAGTAAAATTTATCTATAGTTATATTTATTATGAAAATTATATATATATATAAACTCATAAAACTACTAAAAACACTAATGAAAGTTGATAAAAGAACAAAACCTGAATATTAAACCATGCACCCTTTTTTGTCACAGTGAGAAAATTATATATTTTTGTAGAATTATCAGGAAATTAAAGTTTACAAGTGTAAACCACAAATTAGTTCTAAAGGCATATTAAAATTAGAATATAATAACAAAGTATCCTTACCTGCAGTTTCTTGGATAAATGGCTCAGTTCAGGTGGTGTCTCTAGGCTTTTCTCACATTTTTCTTTGCTTTCAACCCTTTTTTGTTTTATTTGAAGTGACTGTAGCTTTTCATAACTATGTGTCAACTTTGAAAACTAAAAACGAAAGCAGAGTTGAACATGCAGAATCTATCAAAGATGACCACGTGGCCAAAGTTTTCTTTAAACTAGAATAGCCAACTGCAGCTTCAGCAATCTAAATGTTTAATCAATGTAACGATGTATAAATTAATAAAGTTAATTTTTTAGAGAGGAAGAAGAGTAAGGCCTCATGAATGTTAACTAAGTGCTCAAAAGGGTTGATTTGACAGCTACTTAATTCTGCTGGAGTTCTTTATGGTGCTGTTACCCACGGTGTCATTTCCTCAAAGCTTCTATGAAATGTTCTATACTTGTTTACTGCCATCTTGTGTTGACGTTTTTAAAGGGTGCTTCACTAGCCAAAGTGAACAGTGATCATTAACGTTTTAAACTTGCATGTTTCTTTTTTATCATTAAAACTGTTGAAATGTTATGTATGTGATGATTGCATTCGTCTGGAATCATTAAGTGCCAAAGAGTGCCTACGAGAATTAGACACTAAATACTGTTGATACGTTGATCTTACCGTGAAAGCCTAGCTTAGGAGTCAGAGGCAAAGGAGTCAAAAGCAGAGAAGGGAAGATAGCAGTAGAAGTACCAGCCTCTTCAGAAAGTACCAGCCTTTTCAGAAAATACCAGCCTCTCAAGAAAGTGCCAGCCTCTTCAGAAAAATGGCCGGTCTGACCACAGTTAGCTATACTACACAAGCAAAGGGGCTAGTGGCCATTTACAGGCTTGTTGCAGCAAACTGACACAGTCTGGTAGAGATATGTCCATCTGGTTTTGAAGAATAAAAAAAAAAAAAGGAAAACCAAGGATATTGACAACGGAAACACTAAAAATATTGTCTTGAGGGAAGCCAAATGAAAGAACTTCATAGAGAATGTTGAGTAGAAAGGAAGCTTACAACTATGAATATTGATCATATCTCTTGATAGTTTTTTCCCTTTAAATCCAGTTCTATACAATGGTTTACATTCTCTGTAATAATGAAGGCTTCGTTTAAAAAAAATTCTGACTCCAATGTAAAATTCTTTCCCTAACCAAACAAAATCCATAACACCTCATATTTTTAACTGCTCAAGTGAATTACTGTCTGGAAAAGAAATTCCTTCCAATAAAGTAATTGGAAATGGAATGGAATCCTACTGAACCAACCTGGAATGAGAAAGGTCTGTGCAGAAAACAAAGATGGCCAAAAAGGTCCACAAAGGATACGGAACACAAACTGGAGTTAAAAAAATAATCTGGAAACTTCTTACAGACTTGAGAAGATTTTGGGAACAGCAAAAAGAATTGAAAAGACCAGCAAATCAGCCTAGACTAGAAAGTTTCCTGAAATGAGGAGATTCAAGGATAGATTTAACTAACTTGGAATTTCTGAACAGAAATCCTGTTAACACGGACTTACAGAACTGAGATACAGTCTTCAAAAAGAAATCAAAAGTCTTGCAGAAATGCTGCCTATATTTAAAAATTACCTTGCAAAGGAACGCAGTTAAGATGAAATACTGGGAGTTGCCTGGGAAGAGCAAACCCAGATGAAGAGAAGTATTAGACTGTCCATGCTAAAAAAGCTAGGAAATACAGGATCTAACACTTCAGCAAATCAGTCTAAAATGGAACAGAATGGCCAAAATGAGAAAATTTAGTCTACTAGATTCATTTAATGAAAATAGGATATTTCAGACAGATTATAGTCTGGATGTTACCATGACCAGAGACTAACTAAAAGCTGAGAATCTTTTCCTTTAACACTAGGTATTTGCTTTTAAAATAAGGTCCAAATTGTTCTACTTTCATGTTGTACAGGGGGGAAAAAAAAAAAGCTGAGGTGTTTTACTTAGTTCTGGGCTGGGTTTTATCTAAGTTTAGCCTTCTGAAAGTTAGACATCCAAGCCTGAGCTACTCTGTGTTAGAAAAAGCTTCCTCCAAATGCTTAGTCATTTCAGCTATCTTAAATTCTCGTCATACACGAGGTGAATTACATTCTAGGGGTGTCCATTTCCCCCATTGATTCTAAAGGGAGCCTGAGGTAGCTCAGACGTAGCCACCTAGCTTTTAAATGTCTAAGTGAGGCAATTAGTTGCTGAAGTGCTTGGAACAAGAATGGATTCTGGTTCTTTTGCCGAGAGATTTCTGTCATTTTCAAAATGGGAATAACTACTTAACATTAATATACAAAAAAATGAAGGAAGAAAGCGATGAAGATGAACCCCTAAAGTTTATATTTAATTATGACAAAATACTCTACATTTGAATGAGTGCAGCAGTACGGCCTAATAGTTTCAGGTTACGTATCAGGAATTATTTCCCTAATACAAGAAAAATACAAGCACACAGTCAATTCAGTGGGATTGTTGCTCATTAAACAGCTGCTTTTATCAGTAGCAAGAGTAAAAAGCACTGAGGATCACAGAAGCAGTAGAGAAATTTGCAGGGAAAAATTTGATGTGAATAGCATAGCATTCTTAGAGCTAGAAAAAGTGATCCTTTCTATTTCTACCAAGATGAGGAAGAAAGAAAAATTGGGAAGGATTTTAAGAATACATCTGCAGGGAAAGATACAATGCTACTGGTAAATAGTAACACTTACGCCATTTGTGCAAAACGAAATTGTAGCTCTTAAGATTATACAGCGTAGAAGGAGGTATCACTTCCAAGTGAGGATAAGAACCAAAAGAATGGAGACAAAGAAGGTAAGGCAAAGATTAATATTGTCAGGATAGTGCTATATTTTAAATAGGAGTTTGTTCAGCTGAGAATCAGGGACATTATACTATTGTAGATGCTGCAGCACTGTAATCTAAGAAAGAAACTCAATAAGGACATGTGGTAAAAGTTGGAGGAGCAGAGAGGGATAGCCCTACTGTCTAGCACAGGTGCTTGGAATTGTTCTCACAGGGAAACTTTCAGTTTGTCACATACAGAATCTAGGCAGCCTCCAAACTCAGGCACTTCACAGTTTACTTCTTCAGTCAATGTGTACTGGATGGATATTTTATGAAGAAACACGGTTTGGTGAAAGGGGAGGAATGGGAATCAGAAAAGAAAATGCAAATGGCATCAGTGCTGGAACCTTTAGTAAAATAAATAGGATGACTGAGAAAGAAGGAAATGTTTGGAGGAATAGTTTGAGAAAGTGATGTATAATCTTAAGAGCTAGAAATCCAAGCTTCTTGCATAAAGATAAAAAGAGAAGCAATCAGGAAACTCAAAGAAGGGTTAGGTGGTCTGCATGGTAACTAAAAAGGATCTTGTCAAGAAGTATAACCAGGTTTACAGAGAGAAGCTTAGGAAGTGTAAGATTCTTTAAAAAAAAAGAAACAGCAAGAGAAAACAGATTATGTTTGTCCATGGAAAGGACTTGTAGGGTAAATAACAACTTCAAGATTAAAAGCTTTATGAAAAGTGACCTGGAGATTCAATTTCAGAAAGTTCAATTTCAGTGAAATTTTTAGCAACAACATGTAACATATAACCAGTCATTCCTAGGATGTAATGAAAAAAAAATAAAAGTGAAAAACATTGCAGGAAATGTGAAAATGGATGAGGAAAGAGAGATCTGCTATATTGTCGGGGATGGCTCTGTGTTGCTAAAGGTGCCTTACAACTTATGCATAAAAAAGTCACACCATTTTTCATTGTATGATGTTTATCTTCTCAATAATCATGCTAAGATATTGTTTATTTTTCTGTAATCTAAGAACATGATAAACCAGCTTTTGTTCTTAGCTACTTCCCCAAATGATTAGAAGTGTTAATTACATAACAACCAAAACATTCTCTGCTTACTCACAGAACAGTTTGCCGAATCAATTTCCGTATATAAAAGAAGAAATAAATTAAAGACAACTTAACCTTAAAAATTAGTTATACACGTATTGATTGGATGGATTTGGGTAGTAAGTGTTATCACCTCTAGATGAAAATAATGATATCCAGTTTATGCAATCCAAGATGATTCTACAATAAGTGTGATGATTGGTAATTTTTAATTATAACACTGTATCTCTGGTAGAGAATTCTCTGGAGAATCCAGTGAAGGAAACAGTAGAAAAGCAAGGAAAACAATGTAGATTTGTGTATGCTAACTTGTTAAAATCTGAGGAACAGAATAGACTGAAGTTCATTAAGAATTTAGGTTTATGATGGAAGTGGAAAATAATGAAGAAACAAAAATACAGGCACAGAGCAAACACAGCCGAATAGAATCATAGAATCATCAAACCAGGGAATGGTTTGAGTTGGAAGGCATCTTTAAAGATCACCTACTCCAAATCCCCTGCCATGGACAAGGACATCTTTCACCAGATCAGGTTGCTCAAAACCTCATCCAACCTGGCCTTGAACACTTCCACTGATGGGCTACCAACAGCTTCTCTATGCAACCTGTGCCAGTGTCTAACCACCCTCATCATAAATCATTTCTTCCTTATGTCCAATCAAAATCTACCTTCTTTCAGTTTAAAACTGCTACGCTTTGTCCCATCACTTACAGGCCATGGTAAAAAGTCTGTCTCTATCTGTACTGTAAGTGCTCTTCATTTAGTCATGTAGTCATCATCATTTGTATGACACTATTCATCTTTCTCAAATCCATAAAGGTACATCTATATAATTAACGTATAAGCTCTTTATACTGCAATCATAAAATAATGAAACTGATATTTGTCTTACATGAGATTTCAGTGCTTGCAGCTGAGTTTCATAATTCACAGCCATCTCATATTTAGTTTTCTGTAAGTCTTCCAGTTTCTGTCGAAGCAGTCCCACCTACAGTTAAAAAGTACTCAACTTTACCTTTTCTGAAGTGTTCCAAAATAAGTCCTTTTTGGGACAGTAATTTGAAATTTTGAAAGAAGATTGTTGCTTTTAAAAGACAGATATTAAAAATATATATTCATTCATTACTTTACTAATAAAACTGGGTACCAAAAACCCGGTATGATGTTGTTGTATCAACATCAAGTTACGTATTTTATAGTAAAAATCTCATTGTACACTTATGATTTATGATAATGCTGTATGAGTCTGTCATGAAAGACCATTTATTGAAAGCATTTCTGACCCAACTATACCAATGAACTGCTGTGCCCTGTTGTGAAAATTTTCCTTGAATACCTTATATAATCATATAAATTACTTTCAGCTGCTTATGTACAAATTATTAGGAGACACTGTAGACTCATTTCAGCTCCCTGAGTACAGTGCCATTTGAGATATCTTGAATTATCTGAGAGTTTCACAGACATCTGAGATAAATGACAAAAAGCATACATGACATCTACATTTTTCTAGAGCAGCAGCTGGAAGCTAGGTGGAATATGCTAAACTATTTCAGATAGCATCTCTGTACGGGCAAATAAATTGATTTAGGGACTGGCGAGCTGAATTATTCTCTTGGCTCCTCTGCAATGACTAAGGGCAAATTCCTAATTGCTCATTAGGGAGAGTTCGTTTCCAAAACTCCCTCTGGCAGTTAAGACACCGAGCTCATACAAGGATGCCCATGTATAAACACCTAACTTCAGGTGTCTGGAACTGGAACTCAACGCTGTGCTAGGATTTACTGGTGCTTCTGAATGAGTATTCAGCAGGCAAGACTGTGAAGGGTGGACAACATCACATATACTGGGGTTTTCATTTTGGTTAACAAGTCTAAGTGGTAATACAATTTGAATCTTCACTATTAATAATAAAATTATCATACAAAGACAGTAGATCATGTAAAATGATAAAAATCAGGTACAGACAGGAATCACAAAAACATAATTTCGTGAAACTTTTTGAACTGTACCTTTCCATTTAAAATTTCTGATGAAACTACAAGTGTTGGCATTTAGAAAAAAACATAAAATTATCTTTTTACAGCTAAACTGAGAATATTTGATTTAGACTTCAGGGAAATAGAAGACATATGAGACATTCAATGACATTTTTAGAATTAGTTTTCAAACAGAAGCATGCTTTAAAACAAAACACTAAGGATAATTAGTGACCTTTAAAGGATGTTTGGTATTTTTACATGATAGAACAAACAGTTCTCCTTATAGAGCATTTAGAGTATACTATTAACTAACTCGCAGAATAAATACCTTCTTTATAGAACATGATATTCTTAAATACCTCTTGACCTTTTTGATCCAGTTTGCTCTGGGTACTTGCTAATTCTTGATCCTGGATATCCATCTTTGCTTTTAAGGCTTTCATCTTCCTTTCCCATTCCACTTTCTTGCTGTTTACCATGATGTCAATTTGACGCACTAATTTCTGAAGTTCAGCTTCACATGGAGAAGCTCTAATAATATATTTTAAAAAGAGAGATTTTTTTTCAAATAAAGAATAAGGAAGAAAAGAAATTTTTCTATACATTGCTAAGATTTTATTTTGATTCTGATGGAAATAACCTCTTTTCAACATCAGAAAGAAAGAAATGGGAAAGCTAAATGATGCCTTCAAATGCAGGTAGAATCTCACTGCATCTATCTTTAGTTTGCCTGAAGTAAAAATCAGAGTACTTAGCATATTCTGGACCATTTGGTTAGCTTAAATGCTGTTTGATATCCTCTCACTCTTGCAGGGATGAACTGTCAAACGAGCATTAAGTTGCTTATGGGCACAGGACTTCCCACAAAGGGCACATAATGACGGAGGCAGAGTTTGTTGGAGGTAGTTATTAAACAGCTGGCTTAAAGCTAGCCACAATTCTTAACTGCTAGTTCAATTTTTACACTCAGTTTTCCATTATCTTTCTGGAAAATGGACTTAAATAACAAGGCAACTTGTATAGTAATAGTAAGTTTTAATTCTATTAGAGTTACACAGACGCGAGTGCATTTTGAAAAGGAATTTGTCTTTGGGAAACCGTGTGCTGGATTTTATAGATTTGTCCAATACCTGCAACATTAGCATTAGATTATTTTCCCAAACTTCTGAAGTTAAATTTGAAATACATCCCTGTCTGTCAGTAACAGACAATGTTTTACACTGTTGATTTAGGGATATCATGTGTCCAGAGAAGCAAAATAATGACATATGCTAAATTTATGGCATATTAGAAGGGCCATCAGACACTGAAAGCAGCCAAAAGCTGTCCTCTTAGCTGCTCTCCTATACAACCCCTTGTATAGAATCACAGAACTACAGAATCACAGAATGT